TGAGCATTACAATAGGCCTATGGCCGAAATTTAAAGGCACTCATACAAAGGAAAATACTAAGCTATTTCTTCCACAAATCCTAGAAAATGCAGTCATGTGCTTGAGTCCTTTCATGGAATAAAATCAGGGAAAATGGGGACAGGGATTCATGAATGAATATTCATGAATGGAAGGGGATTTTCGGCCATATTAGAGGGCAAAATGGATGGGTGATGTGTTGGGTATTTTGGCTTGGCTAGTGAGGTGAATATTTGGTGGTTGGGGAGTGATTCATTCTGCCATAGTGGGGGACAGTGGGGTGTGAGAAATATGGCTTTTATAGGGTGGCTTTTATGGTGGTTTAAAGGTCAAAGTAATCAAAAATATCCCTTGGCTTGTTGTGCTTGTTATTTCGGTTGTACTAGGGGACAAGGGGGGGACAATGTTTGTGGGATGTTGGGTGATGAAATATGGTTGTTTGGCTTGGTGTGTTTCGGCCCTAGCTTAGGGAAATGAAAAGGAAATTGACTTATGGTTTTTTCTTTTGGCACAAAACGTGTTATTTTGATGGAGTGATTCAAGTAGGGAGTGGGGTAGTCTGGGCAGGGTATACGGCTCTTTTTAGGATGGAGATAGGCTCAAGGTTGTCAGGGTTAAGTAATATGGTTTGGGGTTGGAGAATTCATTCCAGAAAGGATCGTAACACTTAGACATGATTCCACTGATTTGTTTAAGGATTTGAGGATCAGGTGTAGTACTAGGGGATATAACATATTAAGACCCATCGAGATCAATCTTTGACCCAAAAATCTTATTTTGTAGAGCGTTAATTTTGCAGTTTTGTCTTTTTTGGGGTTTTCCTACTTATTTACATTTTTTAGCTATAAATGATTTGCTTGTGAGCAGTTTTATGCAGACTTGGTATGACAGTTACTTTGATTTTTAGTTTCCAGTTTCACGGTTAATCCCCTAATTTTTAGTTTCTGATTTGTGGTTGACTAACATATCTTTTAATCGTGATGACAATGGTTAAGATTATTATTCTACATCAATATATGAATAATTCTACATATCTCTCCACTAGTGTACTTTCATCCCTCAAGTTTTGAATTTGTTAATTTGTTCTTTATCATATATGTCTTGATTCTATTCGGACTATTTAGACCTTTAATTTTAACTTATAACTTAAGAATCTAAAATATTCAATGTAAAAAATTTATTTTTAATCTATCATTTTTAGTTTTTTATCTTTTAAACTTATAATTCATTTTTAAATCATATATTTTATTTTGTGCGACCAAATAACAAAATTCAAATTGAGGTTTTTCATTTCCAATTTCTTGACCTCAACTTTGTGCCTAATTTTATGGTTTTTTATAATTAAAATATTTAAATTAAATGTCAATAAAACGCTGTTTCTAAAACTATAAACAATACCGACAGATAAATTTTTGTTTCTAATAGTATAAACAATACCCACAGATATATTTTTTGTTGCTAATACTATTAACAATACTGACAGATAAAGTTTTGTCGCTAAAACTATAAGCAATACTGACAGATTAAATTTTGTTGCTAAAACTATAAGCTATAGCGACAGATATTACTCTTTCTGTGGGTCAAATAGTTTTTACCTTCAAATAATTTTATCTGTCGGTAATATTCTATTTTTAGCGACAAATAACGTTTCTGTCGCTAAGGATCTGTCGGTACTACCCTCTTTTTTTGTAGTGCATTTTGAGGCAATGCCAGAATATGCCAAGTCGATTGCAAGTATCGGTGATGGACTGGCTGGGGAGGAAAATGATGGGGTTGGTGAGGTTATTATACCCGATGATTTGTTGATTAAAAGTACCAGTGATCCGATTGTGTCTATAGTGAATTCAACTTATCCAGACTTTCACAATATCGCGATTGATCCGACTTATTTGCAAAGCAGGGCAATCTTGGCACCAAGTATAGAAGTTGTGGACGAAATCAATGAATACATGACCTCATTGAACGAAACAGGAGAAGCTAAAAGTTACTTGAGTTCAGATGCCGTGTGTAAATCCGATTCAAATTCAAACTTCTTAAATGACATGCATTCTCCTGAATTCTTAAATAACATCCGAGCATCTAGGGTCCCAAACCATGATTTGAAGTTAAAGATTGGGACACCGGTGATGTTGTTGAGGAATATAGACCAGTCGTCAGGTTTGTGCAATGGAACAAAGTTGATCGTTACACGACTTGGCAATCATCTAATTCAAGGTAAGGTCTTGACAGGGAAGAATATTGGTCAAGAAGTTGTTATCCCGCGATTGTTGTTTACACCACCGGATACCAGAATTCCTTTTAAATTTCAAAGGAAACAGTTTCCGATTATGATATCTTATGCTATGACGATTAATAAAAGTCAGGGACAACATTGACGCATGTTGGGCTCTTACTAAAGAAACCTGTGTTCAGTCATGGACAACTTTACGTGGCATTATCACGAGTCACAAATCGCAGTGGATTAAAGATTTTGATTTGTAGTGAAGATCCTGCGACAGTGAATAAAACATTAAATGTAGTTTATAAGGAAGTTTTCCAAAACTTATAGTTGTGTTCTTCCTTATAGTGCATTAATTGTAAAACACATCCTCTTAAATGTATATTACGTATCTTTGCTAAAACCAAATTTAATCTCTTAAATATATCAATATTTCTCCTAATTATATAATTTATAATTAAGCCGTGCAACGCACTGGTTCAAGTCTAGTTTTTTTTTTTTTCAAAACAAAAAAAAAATTAATTTAACACCAAAATTTAGTAGGGGGCATTTGCCCCCAATGAGATCAGCCCCTAAATGATTCTCTGTTTGATCCTTTCTTCTCTGTTGGATGTCTGGATGACTGAAACCATCCGATTTCATTGTCACTCCGCTGAGTTCATGTAAGTTTGTGAATCTTTCTTTATCTTTACTCCGTATTTCTTTCTCCTTTTTGTCTCTCTGTTTCCTGTGTTGAGCTACCCTCCAAAAATGGAAGCGGTACGGATATTAATCTGAAGGCAGCATACGTAAATGGAAGAGGTGAGAAGAAAATTATCTTTCAAACCAAGTAAAATCTTGAAAATGCAATCTGAAATGGCCAATTCTGTGGTGATTTTCCACTAAAGAGGCGACTTTATGATATATAGATTTGGGTGATCTGCTGCTTCAGGCTATTTTGGCTGAGGGTTTACTAAAGTTATTATAACTCTTTGATTTTCAATCAGATATGGTAAGTAAAGGGTGGATGACAAAAAATGATTTTGTACATTTGAAACACTTCAAGGAAATTCTTCAAATATATATTTACTGAGTTAATACTCATTTTGATCCCTCTAAGTGTACTCACGACTAAATTTTGTCCCTGTAAGTTCATTTGAATCAAATTAGTCCCTATATATAGAAAATATGAATCAAGTTAGTGCTTTGAACAGAATTTATCTCGTAAAGTTTTGAGTTATCACGTTAATTGATACAAGAACAATGACCTCGTGTATTAGTTTTTGTGTCAATTAACGTGTTAGCTTAAGATTTTAGAATATAAATTTTGCATAAAGAACTAATTTGATTCACATTTCCTAGTTACAAGGATTAATTTGACTAAACCGAATTTACAGGGACCAAATTGACTAGTGTGTGCACTTACAGGGACTAAAATGAGTATTAACTCTATACTTACTCATATTACTTTAAAAGTGTTTTTAGAATATTCAACTCTTGGGATAAGAGTGCTATTTTTTTTGTCATTTTTTGTTTCCAGGTAAAAAGCCTATCTCTTTCTGATGTTGACTCCATAACACTTTGTTCTACAAGAGTAGGTGTCTTGAGTGTACTACTCTTCAAGGGTTTAGTATAATTATTGATTTGGAATTTCTAGTATGCCGTTTTAGAGTGATGATAAAAAGATCAAAGCTTCCCATTCACATTCATGGGAAGTTGCAGATTTTCTTCAAGAACTCCAGTTTTGCATTATGTTCTTGTGGCCTTGATGAGAAACACATGAGTTTGGATTCTAATGGTATAGGGTCAGAATCAGAAAATGAATGGGAGAGATTGCTTAAGCCTTATGACCTCAAACAACTTCGGGAATCACTTAAAAAGATTAGCCCTTATCAGCTAAATAAGCTACTGGCACTCCCTTTGGATGTACCGACATCAATGGAGCTATTTGAAAGGGCTGGTAAGCAGATAGGGTATAGTCACACATATGATGTGTACTATACTTTGATTGATAAGCTTGGGGCTGCAAATGAATTCAAGGTTATAGATAGGATGCTATTGCAGATGAAAGACGAAGAAAGTATAGTTTTCAGGGAGTCCCTTTTTATAATGATAATGAAGCATTATGGGAGAGCTGGTTTCCCCGGGCAGTCAACCAGATTACTTCTAGATATGAAATGTACATTCTCTTGTCAACCGACTTTTAAGTCGTACAATGTTGTGATTGACATTCTTGTGGTTGGCAATTGTCCTAAAGTTGCGCAAAATGTTTATTATGATATGTTGAACAAAGGTATATCTCCTACTGTGTGCACTTTTGCCAGAGTGATACAATCATGTTGCATGGTCAATGAGGTGGACACTGGATGCTCACTTCTTCGGGATATGATGAAACATGGGTGTGTCCCTAATTCAGTAATTTACCAGATGCTGGTACGTGCACTCTCACATGCTAAAAGGGTGGATGAAGCGCTCCAACTGTTAGAGGAGATGTTCCTTATGGGTTGCATCCCAGATGTTAATACTTTCAATGATGTTATACATGGGCTTTGTCACACGGGTCGAATTCACGAGGCTGCTAAGTTAGTTGATAGGATGTTTGCTCGCGGTTTCGTCCCGGATGCTATAACGTATGGGGTGTTAATGCATGCTTTTTGCCGGTGTGGGAAGGTGGATGAAGCAAGAACTCTTCTAAATAAAGTGCCCGATCCTAACAATGTCTTGTTTAATACTTTAATTAATGGTTATGTGAGTACTGGGCAACTGGATGAAGCAAAAGCTCTTGTTGATAAGATCGTGTTGGCTAGTGGCTATCAACCAGATGTTTATACATATAATATTCTGATTCGGGGTTTTTGCAAGAAAGGAGATCTGTCTTCTGCTATTGAAACACTGAAGGAAATGTCAGTCAGTGCTTCAAAGCCCAATGTAGTTACATATACTATGATAATTGACGGGTTCTGTAATCTAGGTCTGTTAAAGGAAGCTTACCAGGTAATCAGTAATATGTCCACACGTGGGCTCAGCCTGAACACTGTGGGCTATAACTGTCTTATATCCGCTTTGTGCAAAAAGGGGAATATCCAAGAAGCATTTGAAATGTTAAATGATATGCGGAATAAAGGTTGCAAACCTGACATTTTTACTTTTAATGCATTGATTCTTGGGTTTTGCAAAATTGATAAGATTGACCAGGCACTAGGGATGTACTTGGAAATTTTCCAGGAGGGAATCATTGCTAATACAGTAACCTACAATACATTAATTCATCATTTATTGAAAAAGGGTGCAACCCGAAAAGTACATATGCTTGCCAATGATATGATCTTCAGAGGATGTCCCTTTGACGAAATCACATATACTGGACTCATCAAAACACTTTGCAGAGATGGAGAAGTTGAGAAAGCATTAGCACTTCTTGAAGAAATGTTGAGTCAGGGCTTCCAACCAAATAACATATGTTGCAATATTCTGATTAATACCTACTGCACTTTGGGGAAGGTACATAATGCACTGGAGTTTCTGAGAGAGATGGTACTCCGAGGATTGGCACCTGATATCGTTACCTATAACAGCTTGATAAATGGGTTGTGTAAGATGGGGAAAGTACGAGAAGCACAGAACCTCTTTGAAAATATACAACATGAGGGAGTTTTGCCCGATGTATTCACTTACAGTACTTTAATTTTTACCTATTGTAAAGCTGGGATGCTAGGTGATGCTTATATGCTTTTGAACAGAGGCGTCTTAAATGGTTTCGTTCCCAATGATGTAACATGGTATGTGCTAGTGAACAACTTTGTTGCAGAAGGATTGTATTTTAGGCGAACAAGTTGAAACAGTTCTTGGTCTAAAGTGGGTTCCTTCTGGATGACGAAACCCGGGCTGTGCTAGTGAACAATTTATGAGTTGCAAGATGGTCTGAAGGTATTATCCACTCTATGCATGCTAGATGAATTTGTATGTGTTTGTGCTCTATGCACGACTTTATATTATACTCCGTACATATATAGTTGAACATAAAATAGTGGACGTTTATGTTTAGATCTTTGCAAACCTTCAGGTTTTCATTAAACTTGTTTTGTACCATCGGCTTCATCAAAATTTTATTTATTTTACACTCTTGTACTACACCAATCAGTTTTATGCACTCTTCTATTTTCAGAATTGTAATGATACTAAAATAATGAATCATATGATAATGATGAAAAGTATTAAGTAATGTCTTTTCTAAGGACTATCACATAATCTGAGTTATAATTGAAAACATTTATTTTGTTCATTATTATATAGCAGTATTAGTATATCACATATCCAATTGAATTACAATCTATCTATGACCAAGTGTTCAATTCTTTTACTGTTCTAATAATTCGTCTACAAATGGAGACCTAACCAAAGAATTATAGCCATTTTTATAATATTGATGTTGGTTGCATTTATCTTAAACTCACCATCAACATTGTTTATAATTGAATATTTGAAACGAGGGCGTCTTAAAAACAAGATGATAATATCATGATGAGTTAAAGAGGTGATATCACGATGAGCTAAGAAATGATGTTATACTGATGTAGGGTCCATATCGAGTCACCTATATAATGGGGTTTAATTTCATTGTTCTCTTTGTTGATGACTTCAGATGTACGTGGGTCATTATTGATAGAATTTGGGATGGGTATGGACAACTGGATTGGGCAATAAGATACTTGGGCTGAACCACATTAAAAGATTGAATCCAATCAATTAGTTAGTTCAACTCAAGAGCTTATATACCGATTATTTTGCTCTTGAACTTCCGATGTGGGATGACACTCTAACACTCCCCCTCAAGTGGACAACCGGCCCATTTTGAATCTAACTGGTTGACCACTTGCAAATATACTCCCATTCCCCTGAACTTTTTTTTTAGCGCCAACACCTAAAGGACCACGAGCTATGGACTTCCAGACGAGCAACCGTGTTAAACGAGCCAAAGGCCGTTGGGTACATACTCCATAAGGACAACTGGGCTAAAGACTAACGGGCTGCTAGGAATGAATGTCTAGACGGGCACCTTGACAAACGAGGTGGGCCATTACTTGCTCCGATACCATGATAGAATTTGGGATGGGTATGGACAACTGGATTGGGCAATAAGACACTTGGGCTAAACCACATTAAAAGATTGAATCCAATCGATTAGTTAGTTCAACTCAAGAGCTTATATACCGATTATTTTGCTCTTGAACTTCCGATGTGGGATGACACTCTAACAATTATGATCGGCCATAACTGTTTAATGATTTTCAAAACTTCTATGCTGAACTCGGCTTTACAAAACCCGGCTTTACAAAACCATTTGTATGTGACCTGGTGATAATGCGCAGGAATAATTTAATGATTCCTACACTACCTATATAGCAGACATGACACGAGTTCTGATATATTCTCATGTTGCATGTACTTTTTGGGCAGATAGTATTGTTATGGCTTGTCACATCATTAATTGCATGTCTTCTTTAATTAATAAAGTTCCTTACTCTTTATTAGCCGTGAGCCATTTCTTTGTGTCCTTGTAATTTTGGCTGCATTTTTTTGGGTCCATAACATGATTCCTGGTCAAACCAATCAAGTGTGTATCTCTTTTTATTCCGTCTTCAAAAGGGATATCATTGTTATTCTCTTAGATAAATCATCTCCATTCGAACCTTATTGTTTGCCTTCTAGCATCTCCATACTACCCACAAATAGTCTACATTCTATCAATGTGTCTGCTTATCTGCCATTCCTGCATGTTCATATTTCCACCCATGTCCTCCTCTGAAATCACCTCCCACTGCTGATTCTCCTGGATCCTCCATCTCTCTTACTGAGGATTCTCTCCAAGATGGCACCCATTGCATTCGGAAAAGGTAGTTGTTCTTTTGGACTCTTTTCTTAGGTATTGTTGGCTTGTTGCGTCTCTCTGTATTGCTCCCTGTATTTCCAAATAAATTTCACAATCACTATTAACTATTTGTAGGCCTTAGATAGGAAAATCTGGAGAGCTAGGATTAGGGTAGTTAGGTAGGCATTTTGGGCTTGGTGGTAGTTTTCCAACTTGTGGTCTTTTTATTCTTGGTGCTCTGTGCTTTTATGCTTTGTGCTCTATGTTGTTGTGCCTTTTTTCTTGGAAACAGCCTCCCCTAGACTCTACTCATGTGGGATCCAATTGGGTTGTTGTTGTATTAACTATTCGTAGTGTCAAACTCGATCAACTTTCTTTACTTGTTACTTTAATAATTTATTACAATACAATAGTCTTTTCACTAGTTGGATAGAACTTTTGATGTAGTTTTTAAAATGGTAATTTTTTAAAAAACAATTTGACACCAATATCTAAATAAATTGGATTAAAAATAACTTCAGCCAAACATCGTAAACTAAACTGCAAAGTTTATTATGGGACGGAGGGAATATGATGTTTTCTCTCCCATTTGTCTGCTGTGCTAAAACCAACAAAGTTCTCTCAGATCGAGGATTTGAGCTTGGCCACATCCTGTGTTGATAGAAATGGCAGTTTTAATACTTAATACTCTGGAACTGGGTTCTTTTTCCCTCTGTTTACGTCCGTTGTTAGTTGCAGGGAGAGCTGTAATGTCAAAATTAGACCTGTTGGTACAGTGGATAATTTTAAAGGCTTGTTTCTAATAGATACCCTCATCTTTATGCCTCAAAATTACACAAATACTTTTTCTCTTGTTGCCAAAATTGCTTTTATGGGCCTCATTATTTCTGTTTGTCAAGAATGTTTTTCTTCATGGTGGCCTTCAGAAGAAGTTTACACTTTACATGGAGTAGCCTCCTCAGTTTTGAACAAATGAAACAATGAGGACGACATCTCCCAGCTCAAGGCACAACTTGATTATATATTCTAACACAATATTAACGGAAATCAAAATATATATTTTGGAATGGAAGTAGCTTCTTAGAGTAGTAGAGTCTTACTGTATTTCAAAGAAAATATGCTCTTGATATTCTTACAGTTTCTTGCTGACATTTTTTGGCTGTGTTCCCATTCTTAGCTTCATGGATCATAATTAGAAGCTCTTACCCGAACAAGATGACACGCCACTGACCAAGAACCATACAGATGGCTTGTTTGTTGGAAGACCGAATTACCCGACAACCAATGGTCCAGATATTTCTTATGCGGTTAGTGTGTGCAACATTCAAAAGGTTTCTTTGATCATATTTTCATATCCAGAAAGTTGCCATGATGGCCACTTCCAATTCAATTAAAATTTTGAACCTTATATCTGCTATTACTACATTCATCCCAAGAAACTATAAAGTGACTCTCTTTCAAATAATTTTTATCACAAAAATTCTATTTGATGAAACGAAGTTGATTTTCCACGTGATTTGTGAAAACGAACAAAGTTTAGAAGTATTAGAACTAATAATTTACAATAGTTATACCGTACCAAAATAGGTTAAATTAGTTGTTCGAACCTGGAGAATAACATTTTTAACTGTACTTGGTTTATGTGATGGCGAATTGGTTACTCACTTTGTTCAGATTGAGTCGTCCACTTTCTTAGAATTAAGTGAACATGTCAAATGAGTTTCTCAATAACTTATGTCAACAATACTCATGCCCTATTGTTAGCATAATCTATAGACAATTCATTATAATTTATTTATTTCCATTCACCTATAGAGCCAAAGATTCACTATTTTTTGACTTTGAGGTATGATGGAATAAAGCAAATTGGCTCTTTAAATTGTCACAATTGTGAAGTAGCAGTTAGTCAATGCAACTTTCAACGCTCATCATGGGTCATCTGGAAACAGCCGCTCTATATTTTAAACATAGGGGTCAGACTGCGTACACCACACCCCCCCTTACCCCGCAATGGGCGGGAGCCATTGAGGCACTGGGGTAATGTTGTTGTTGTAGAAATTGAAGAACTAATTCCGGACAATAAAAAATAAGTGGACAACTAAATCTAGACAAAGTGAGTATATATTATTGGGAGTTGTGACTTATAAAACAAGTGGCATCCCTCACCTGTGCCCGTTACTTGTAAAACAATAAAAAGTAAATAAAGAACCATGGATGAAAGGGAAACGGAATCATCAAAAACAGAATTTGAACAAACTAAATCACAAATGTTCCATGCAGTAAATTTTTCCAAAACACTTACAACGAAGAACCTACAGCTCCCGGACATGGGGTTTGCACTAGCATTTCAAAATCGACATACAAAAACAAATCAGACATTTTCAGTACTGCTCTCCAAATCTCTCATTTCTTTATATACGTATTTCCCAATTGTGTTAGAAGAAAGAACAGGCCATTGTGTTTTGAGGACCGCAACAAGCAACTGGTAAAGCCTGAAATTGCTAGTCTGTATACAGAGAAAAACAGTCGAGAATGAGACCTTATATCAAACATAGATAGAACGAGATTGAAATTTAAGAGATGCGTTTTGTTTACCTTTGCAGTTTTAAGAGCTGTTTGGACGACATAATTTCCAAAGCGATCACGGGCAATGATCAAGAATGTCTTTTCACAGCCCAGAAGGCTCTCCACTACAGACTCCAATCCATACTCAGATGCTTGTATGCATTTCTCCACAACATGGCTTCCACTCTTCTTCAGAGCCAGGTGTATGAAATGCCTCCTGAGGCGATCACATATTTTTCGTGTGATTTCGTTGTTTTTAAGCATCAGAACTTCCTGGACGACATGGTTCCTGTCAGAAAGGAAGAAGATACAACATAAGTTTCATCATTCAGCCGAAGAGTGCAAAACTTGTGAGTTGAAATTCAGATTCGTTTCAGAAAAACATGTACCCGTAAGGATCGTATGACAGGAACTCCGATTCTTCTGCTATATTTTCCAGCAGTTGAAGTCTATGGACACCACAGATGCAACTTAGGCATATATTCAATGATGCACACCCATATACTGATGTTGCCAGCTCTCTGAAGTAAAATATTGTACTATTGAATAACACCTGCAATAAGTTGGGAAATTAATTTTGTAAAATGTAGTAGTAACATAATGTACTGCTTTCATGCACTATTCAAAGGTCAAATCATATCTTCTTTTTCTATATATTTGATAAAAAGAAAATAGTTATTGCCGCCTTTTTTTTCAAATTTTTTATGTACGGAGTAATGTATAATTTTTATTTTTTTAATTCTAAACCAATTTTCAAATATATTGAGTTGAAAATGACTCTAACCAAACAAGGGTTAAGTAAAAACTATAAAGGCTGGAGGTATAAGTATGGTTAATGACCTCATTTTCTTTGGCATTGAAGGTGTATAAGCATTGTTGAACTACAAATCTACCATGTTCACTTTTCATTAGCTCCACAAATCTACTAGACAGTATTAATGTAATACATTGGCCCAACCCTGTCCTTTTAAGTTTCTTGATGAATCCCTGCACGGCACTTGACCTGCCAAAACCATGAAGCTAAGATAGATAAATTAATCACTAAATGCAAAATATAGTTTCTCAATTCACTAAAAAAAACATTTTACAGTCTAGTTTTCACATACTTCCAAAAAATATTGAAAAGAAAAAGTGCATGATTATAGTTTGCTTAGATAAAAACAGAAATATTTTGACATGTCCCTCACTATATATAATAGGAAATAATAATCATGGAGTATAATTTGCCAACTTTTAATGTAAATTACGAAGTAGGAGTATTTTATATGTCCCATCCTTCCATTAACTCTTTTATTTGTCTCTCATAGATTTTTTTTAAATATTTTTTTAACATTTAAAATGCCAGAACTATCCGACTTTCTTTATTATACCTCACTCATATCATTTAATATACTCCATCGATTTTCAAAAAGAGAACATCTTAGGGAATGGAATTGGGATGGAGTACTAAAGATTGACAAAAGTAACGTGAGGATGTGTTGGGTAGAATCCTAGTCCACAACTATAGCTATTATTGTTGTCTTGTACGTCTAACCGGCATCAGAATGTGTCACTGAACATAGGGAGAAAGATACCATACAAAAGGTACCATAGCGATACTAAAGTTAGGATAAAGAAAACTTCATATTATAAATGACTAATTATGAAATTTATTGAGAATTGAGTGAGAAGAAATGTTTAGTTTGATTACCCATGCTTGAGAAGAGATAGGGAGAGAAACAACTCGCGGTCCGCCGTCAAGGTGACAAAGATGGCGTGAAGCTGAACAGAATCACAAAAGTCGAGAAGACTAATGAAGAAACGGTGCCCATATCTATGCACCATCACCTCAAATATGCACCCACCGATGATAACCCCATCCACAATCTCTTGCCTCTCCCTCCGGTTCCCACTCCTAAGCCACTTGTTCAGTTCCATTGACCCCCTCTGCGTTTTCGCCATTGCAACTAATAACCCATCATAATAACCTATATTTCGATCATCCCCAAGTTGGCGATTCCAAGAACTGCTGCATTCACCATGGCTGTTGTTTTCTGTGTACAAAACCATTAAAAAAAAAGAAGACAGAAGCTTTATTTAATCGATCATCAATAAAGAGATCAAGAAGAATTCGGAGGAATTGAAAGATTGGATTTTTACCTGTTCTGGGAGTGAATAAAGTGCCAGCAGGTGCCCAGAGATTCCCAGGAGTTCTGGGTAGTGTGGGCAGAGGCTGCTGCTGGGTGATTCTCCTCCATTGTTCTTGGTTCTCTTCGGGGGGAGAACTCATCAATGGCGGCGCCGCCAGGTTGAGATTATTATGGCTCTGGTGAGAAGGGAGGAGATAATTATTATCGCTAAAGCTTTTGCTGGCCAAGCAAAGGTTTTGGAAAGGAAGGAGAATGCCTTCATGGTCTGCAGAAGGTGTGAAGGCGGCAGGATTATTCCCACTGCTTGAGGGGGCAGCCATGGGAGTACTGGGAGATAGAGGATTCTCAGGTTTGTTAACAACAGCGAGGTTTAATTAATGGGTGGGAAGAGATTTCTTCCGCTTTTTATTTATTCATATAGAGTACATGGAAACTAATTACTCTGTTTGGTTTCCTAATCCAATGACTCTTTGGATTTCGTTTTCCTCTTCGTCCACTAATTAATCCTATTTGGTAATAACGGAGTAACCACACTCTCGTTTGGTTTGGTAATAATAATAATGTTTTCAAATAGGTTAACGTTTTGCACACATTATTACTCTCAAGTAGTGGCGGGTTCATATTGATTTTTAGTTGGACGCCAATGTTCCTTACTAATTTTAAAGCTAAAGCTATAAAAAAGTTACTTCGTGCGTTCCTGAATATTTGTATACTTTTGATTTTTTACGGTCAAAATTAAAAAACTTTGACATCAAATTAAATAAAAATGATATTTGATATTGATACAGATATAATTTTATTAGATTTATTATATCAAATATTTTCATAATATTATTTTATCTAACTAATATATAATATATATTTTATTTAATTATAGGTCAAAGATTGAAAACAGTTGACCGGAAAAGGTCAAAACTGGACAAATACTCAGGAACGGAGGTAGTAATTCTTTTATCAAAATATACTTTGGGCCCCCAACTAAAATTAGGAGAGATCCTATTTCAATAGTATCATTATTAATTTTTTTTAAAATGTTCAAAAGTTTAACCAAAGTATTTTTTTCAAAAATTTCACGCTCAATATTTTTTCAAAAATGTTATTCAATTCTCTAAAATGTTCAAAAATAACATTCGAATTTTTTTAAATAGTCACAATGCTTTTAATATGAATTTTTTACTCTTTTTCTTATATATATTTTCTAAAGTTTTTGTATTATTTTTTGATTACTTCTATGGTTCATCTAGGTTCCCAAAATATTTCTGGACTTTCTCAAAAAAAACTTATTTTTTTTAATTTTTTAAAAATTAAAAACATTTATCTCAACAGTAAGAATTTATTTACCGAAGTAATTTGTGGGTCCAACATGTACCTAAAGTCTACGGTAGAATTTATCTTATTTCAATTATTTTAAAATATCATTTTGTAACATAAGAGTAGGGGAAATACGTGCAACGCCCACCGGTGTCAAGCACGTTTTTAATGCCCGGGGGCGTTAAACACCGCCCCCCTCCCTCGGTGTCATAAGTTTGACGCAGCCTTCGTCCCCCAGCTAAATTAGCCAATGCAAGCCAAGAAAAAATTAATTACTATTTTTTATAAATTTCAAACTCCATCTTTTCAAATTCTCACACCCTTCAATCTTCAATTCTCATCAATCTTCTTCACAGCTTTTTCAGTTCTCCAATTCTCCAACTCTCTTTTCAACATGAATCCTTCCGGCTCCGGCTTTTTCCCCGACGATCTTGAGCCTAACGAGCACGCCATGTGGATCTTCCAACAATACGGGAGTAATCTGTCGATGTTCGAGATGCAACCATCGAGGTACGTCTATGAGCGGGCCAGAAGTCGGTTTCGGAGACTCAACCGGAATCATCCGGCACCAAAAAAAGTGCACGTTGGAAGAGCCACAAAGCGAAAGGCACTCAAGCGATGATCGAGGCGGCACGGTCAGTCCAGAAGTGCACGCCGGAGGAAGAGTGCTTGTTGGCGTTGGCTTGGATTAGCGTCTCCGAACATCCTATCGTTGGTAAAAATATATATGTTTTCTAATATATTTATGTTTTTATTTATATAATCGTGTTATATATTTGTGTTAAAAAATATACGATGTGGGATCGTATTGAGGAGAAGTCCTTTACGGCGGTGAACAAGGACGGTTCTTACCGTACCCGGGACCAACTCACTTCCAAATGGAGCCACATCAACCGTAAAGTCTGAAAGCTTATCGGAGTTTAAGAGGAATGCGCCCAGTCTCGGAGGAGCGGGACGAACGACGCCGATATTTTTTTCAAAAATTTCACGCTCAATATTTTTTCAAAAATGTTATTCAATTCTCTAAAATGTTCAAAAATAACATTCGAATTTTTTTAAATAGTCACAATGCTTTTAATATGAATTTTTTACTCTTTTTCTTATATATATTTTCTAAAGTTTTTGTATTATGTTTTGATTACTTCTATGGTTCATCTAGGTTCCCAAAATATTTCTGGACTTTCTCAAAAAAAAACTTATTTTTTTTAATTTTTTAAAAATTAAAAACATTTATCTCAACAGTAAGAATTTATTTACCGAAGTAATTTGTGGGTCCAACACGAACCTAAAGTCTACGGTAGAATTTATCTTATTTCAATTATTTTAAAATATCATTTTGTAACATAAGAGTAGGGGAAATACGTGCAACGCCCACCGGTGTCAAGCACGTTTTTAATGCCCGGGGGCGTTAAACACCGCCCCCCTTGGGCTTCAAAGTAGCGTCATTCCTTCGGTGTCATAAGTTTGACGCAACCTTCGTCCCCCAGCTAAATTAGCCAATGCAAGCCAAGAAAAAATTAATTACTATTTTTTTATAAATTTCAAACTCCATCTCTTCCAATTCTCACACCTTTCAATCTCCAATTCTCATCAATCTTCTTCACAGCTTCTTCAATTCTCCAATTCTCCAACTCTCTTTTCAACATGAATCCCTCCGGCTCCGGCTTTTTCCCTGACGATCTTGAGCCTAACGAGCACGCCATGTGGATCTTCCAACAATACGGGAGTAATCCGTCGATGTTCGAGATGCAACCATCGGGGTACGTCTATGAGCGGGCCAGAAGTCGGTTCCGGAGACTCAACCGGAACCATCCGGCACCAAAAAAAGTGCACGTTGGAAGAGCCACAAAGCGAAAGGCACTCAAGCGATGATCGAGGTGGCACGGTCAGTCCAGAAGTGCACGCCGGAGGAAGAGTTCTTGTTGGCGTTGGCTTGGATTAGCGTCTCCGAACATCCTATCGTTGGTAAAAATATATATGTTTTCTAATATATTTATGTTTTTATTTATATAATCGTGTTATATATTTGTGTTAAAAAAAATTCGTGTTATACTTTTTTAAACGTTCGGAGCAAACAGAGGATGCGATGTGGGATCGTATTGAGGAGAAGTTCTTTACGGCGGTGAACAAGGACGGCTCTTACCGTATCCGGGACCAACTCACTTCCAAATGGAGCCACATCAACCGTAAAGTCTGAAAGCTTATCGGAGTTTAAGAGGAATGCGCCCAGTCTCAGAGGAGCGGGACGAACGACGCCGATGTTCTCCGGCTTGCCACGGCCCAGTATCAAAATGACGGGAACCAAGGCAAGGTGCCCGTCGATCTTTGGAGGATTTTGAGCCGTTCACCGAAGTGGAAACAACTCAACAATTCTGACGGCGGATCATCAAAGAAAAGATCCTCCGTCGATGCCGAGGTTGAGGTCGATGACACTATCGGTTCATCCGAACAAAGGTCTACCTTCAATGCTGCGGATTCCGATGACGAGGACCTCATTCCACGGTCGATCGGAAGAAAGAAGGCAAAATTCATTGCCTCGGGTTCTAGAGGGTCCGGCTCTATTTCCTTTTCTTCTCACGACGATATCGGTCGGGCAATGGTTGAACAAATTCGGGTGTTCAATATTCGAGAAGAAGAGAGGGCGAGAAGAAAGGAAGAGAAGGACGAGATCGAAATAATGGAAACCAACCTTTCTATATTATCGGCCTTCAAACGTATGATCTTCGAGAGAAGACATAAAGAGATCAAGGCCAAATATAATTTACCTTTGTTTTTTTTTATTAATGTATTTATTTATTATTGTCACTTTCTTTTTTTAAATTTAATGAATGTAATTTTTTAAAATTATTGTCGCTTCAATTTCTTTAAATTTAATGAATGTAATTTTTTAAAATTATTGTCGCTTCAATTTCTTTTAATTTAATGAATGTAACTTTTTAAAATTATTCTTGTTTCAATATAATTAAATAATAAAATAATTAAATTTTATTAATTTAGTTTTAGAAGATGTATATTTAAAAATGTAAAAAATGAAGGTTTGAAGCCCATGTTTGAAGCCTCGGGGCTTCAAACCCATTTCCACTGAATCTGTGAGGTAAGTTAAAGCTGACGTGACAGAGATAAAAATTTTGAAGCCCCGGTTTGAAGCCGCGGGGTTTCACGGGTATGAGTATGATACCCGTGAAGTATCACACTTTTTAGATGGTTGTATCTCTCCTCCAAGTCACTCCATAGAGTCGCAGGGTCTTTGACCCCAATATATTCGGACTTCAGGCCTTCATGAAGATGATGACATATGAAAATCATTGTCTTTGCTCTTTCTTGTTCGCTAGCCCCACCATTTTTCTTAATAGAATTTCCAAGGTTCATTGCATTCAAATGAATCTCAACATCAAGAACACATGTCAAATAGTTCTTTCCGGAAATGTCAAGGGCAGCAAATTCAAGCTTGGTGAGGTTACCCATAACTGAAAATAAATTATAAATTATTATTATTTAGAACCATGTGCGCTCATTGATCCTAACCTTTAGTCATATATTTCATGTTGACATTCTTTTTCAATTCATTACCAGAATCTACTACTTGAAAAAAAAACAAATGTATATGTAAATTGCAATAGACAAGATAAATTAATTTATCAAATAATTCTAATTGTCCATTTTTTGAAAACACACATATACACATATATCAAATTAGTAGATTAAGTTTTTTTTATTATTGTGAAAAATAAATAAATTAAAGTGTATTGTTTGAATAATAGGTTTTTTTAAAAAAAACGTACTTGAAGGGTCTCAATTATTATTATTTATTATGCATTATTATCATTATTATAACAGAGGTTACAATTAGAGCAAAACTATGGACATAATGATAAATTAGAGCACATTACATAATTAAAAATAATAAGTCTATAATATTAACATTATTATTATTATTATTATTATTTCTTTGTTGCATAATAAATAATAATGTCACCTATATATATATATATATATATATATATATATATATATATATATATATATATATAATATATAGGTGACATTATATATATATATATATATATATATATATATATATATATATATATATTCATGTGGCATACTCAAATCTTCAGCTTTGAGTTTTACTATTATTGCTTCGAGCATATGAAATCAGAATATGAACTTCAAGTTCACTAGCCAAAAGAGAGAAAAAAAGCTAAAGAAATAATATTCTTTTTCGACATAATATGTACTCAAGTTTCATGTTGAGTTTTATCATATAACCTTCAACTTTAACAAATAATGTAGGCTTCACATGTCAATTCTCTAATATATTTAGGAGCTTTAGGTTCAATATATCTTCAAGTTCACTAAAAAAACTAAAATAAATATGTGTATATGTATATGAATATGTATATGTATATCTATAACTTGAATTGAATATCAACAAGGACAAGAGATGAATGGGAGTAATTTTTATAAAATTAGAATTTTGCTATCATGCTGATAACGCGTTAAAAATAAATATAATAAAAATATTGTTGTGAACAAAATGATAGAGATATACCTTGATAAGAACACAAATGAAAGATCAAAGTGCAATGATGAATCAAAGGAGAAAGAATGCAATGAGAGATCAAAGAGAAAGATATCTCATTTCAACATATAAAGCCTCTATATATAGGCTTACGAAGGGGAAAGCAAAGGTCTAACTTAATGGAGATTGTCAAAAGATATGGAGAACATCAAAACACATTTGTACATAATACTATTCATTTATTTGAGGTGTCCCACTATTACTTTTGCTTGTGAGGGTACTTTGGGAAGGTCAAGGGCCAAAAAAGCATTCTTTAATTTTCCACTTTGGTTAAAACGTCTGTATCTTTATGGGACGGAGGGAGTATAACGTAAACTAAGTTTTACTAAGAATTATTTGGGCCCCAACTAAAATTAGGAGAGATCCTATTTCGCTCTCATGACAAAAATACCACTATATTATTTATTTTTTAAAAAAAATTAGAGTTGTCTTTTGTTTTTTTCAATAGTGCCATTATTAATTTTTTTTTAAAATGTTCAAAACTGCCATTGAAGTACTCCCTCCGTCCCTTATGGAATTTTTGACAATTTAAAGGTGAGATATTTTTGTATTGACTTTCCAAAAATATCCTTGATGTGATGGATAGATTATTAGTAAAAAGGTATGATGTGATAGGTAGGGTAAGAATTAATACCAGTAAATGTGGGTTTTAATATAAAAGGGAATGAGTTTGTGGGACAAGAAAAAAAGAAAGGAGAGAGAGTTTAAGGGAGGGAGAGAGTTTTTTCCAAAAATGTCACGCTCCATTTTTTCTTTCAATAATGTTATTAAGTTATCTAAAATGTTTAAAAATAAACATTCAAGTATTTTTAAATAGTCACAATGCTTTTAATAGGCAATTTTTTTGTTCTTTTAAATACTATTTTATACAATTAATATATAATATATATTTCATTTAGTTATAGGTCAAAGATTAAAAAATGATATATCGGTCAAAAAAAATCAAAACTAGATAAAGACTTTAGGACTCAGGTAGTATTATTTATTATTACTATACATAAATTTTACGGTTATGCAAAAATATATACTCTTATTACGATTATACTCCTATATGATATCTCATTATTAAATTTGAAAATAATGATATTTCATAACTATATTTAAAAATAAATTCAACATTATAATTAAGGAAAATGCTAGGGGTACATCAAAGGTGTACCCCATTTGTCCCACACCCCCTCCTATAATTATTAAAGGTGCTTTTATAATTAAATACGATCCTCTATTCTTGGTCTTCGAAATACTCTTATAAGGGTCGGATAACCCGATAGTATCCATTAATTAAAAGTGTCCTATTTCTATAATAGAGCAAATCGACATTCGTTAGAACTTAGAAGTAAAGCAATCTTCACCAAGTTCTCATATAGAAGAACCATCAAGTATATGTTGAAACTTATACGAGGTGTATGTATCACGATAAGGAAGACTTCGAGCACTTTCGAGCTCTAGAAAATTGAGACGAAGGAGAGAATAAAATACGCAGAGCAGCCGTGCGCCCAAGGTGAAGGAGACTAGGGCTTTTGGCTTAATTTCTTGATAATAATTAAATAAGGAATACTTCTCTATATATAGGTACAGAGAAGCCCCAACCCTAATTTCTATGTTAGCTAATCTCACAGTTCAAAAAAAGCGACGAGGTAAATAACAGTAAAGAAACCCTCGAAAAAACTTATATTTTGCTCATCTAAAAAAATATAAATACATGAAATAATAAGAATAAGGACCCGCTTCCTCTTCACTTTCCAATTTGCTTAATTTTTTGATAATTACTCCCTCTGCCCCATTTTAAATTACATATTTTCCTTTTTTGTCCGTCTGAAAATAAGTTGCATGTTTCTTATTATATTAAACTTTAAAAGGTAAAATATCTAAACTATCCCTAAAATAAGTCACTCCTCTCCACCTTGTCTTCTCCTCCAATGGCACCCCCCTAAAAATGTAAGGGCATTTTTGGAAAATTAATAATATTTTTCACTTCCTCAATATGCCCAAATTCAAAACAAGCAATATAAAATGGGACGGAGGAAGTATTAAATAAGGAATACTTCTCTGTACCTAATTTCTGCGTTAGCTACCCTGACGGTTCAAGAAAAAGCGACGAGGTAAAGAACCGTAAAGAAATCCTCAAAAAGCTTATATTTTGCTCATCTAAAAAAATCTAAATACATGAAATAATAATAATAATAATAATGAGTCTATAATAATGATATTAATAATAAAGATTAACACTCGTAATCCGCCTGCCACGTAGGCGACTTCCTTTGCCTTGTGCTTCTACGAACCCTTGCCTTTGAACCCGCTTCCTCTTCACTTTCGCTTGAGCTCGGTGCCCCATCCAATGTAGACCCATCTTCAATGCTCGCGGTACCCTCGACTAAGGACTCGTCGCTGCTCGTAACAGAAACATTATACTACTCTCTTTCGTAATTTTTTCTTCCCATTTAGAAGAACTTGTAAAACTTTAACTCTTTTAAAATTGTTTATTTTTAAATTGGTATGCAAATAAAAATACAAATCACACCATTCAAACGTACATTAAAAAGTCTATAAAACAAAAGTTGACAAGATTATATTTATATATCAAATGATCAATAAAAATATGCAATAAACATAAGTTATCGAGATATCGTAATAGTAACTGGATAATTAATTTGAGACATATACAGTATTATAAAGTACTCTTTCTGCCCTAAATAGATTGTCATAGTTTGATTTTTTGAACAAACTGTGGGAGTTTTTTACTATAAAAAATAAATAATTATTATAAAAATATGATATTTTAAAACTATATTTTAAAATAAAATGAGTTTTACTAAATTTACATTACTTTTTCTACAATTTAAATGAAAAAGTGAAACTGTTGTGATCTAGGAAGGGAGTAAGTTTTTAGGAAATTTTTGTTGAAATGAAATTAAAAAAGAAAAGAAATAAAGGATGATCGATCAGAGTAATTATTAATTACTACTGCTCCATAAGAAGGAGTAATAATTGTTATTGGCACCATTCCCCTAATTATACGGAGAAATTTGGTCAAGAACCTCATTTCAGTTCAGCTCCTCTTGCTTCTTCTCCCCATCAAAGATACGGAGCCTGTTTAGATTTCTCGTCATTACTCGATTTGTGCCCTCCGAATTCTTCGAATTCGTCCAGTTCCCCATCTTCATCTTCTTAAATCAGCTCGGTCAACTCATGTTTTCCCCTGTTTTTCTCCCACAGCGTTGAGTCAACTCGGTCATCGCGTAATTGCGTCAACTGCGTGTCTTCGAATCCGGACAGAGCAGACCTTTCAAGCTTCCGGCGGAATCTTGGTCGGAACACGATATGGATAATTCGAAGGAGGCTCTTCTGTGTCAACTCACCGATTTGATTGTGGCCATTTCTTCTTTGCCGGAGTGCAATACGGTCTCCAGAAAGATGTACTGTAACTTGGTGAGGAGGGTTAAGCTGTTGAGCCCTCTATTTGAAGATTTGATGGATATTGAAGACAAGAAGCTAGGAGATGACGCCATTGAGGGACTTGAATTGTTGAGACTTTCCCTTTGTTCAGCTCTAGAGCTTCTTAGATCAGTCAATGAAGGCAGTAAGATTTCTCAGGTATCGGGTTTTTTTTAAGACAAAACTTTGAGCTCTATGCTCACATTGATTGATCCCTTTCATCAACATGTTAACTACTCGGTATTAAAGAAGAGTATTTATAGGAATTAGCTCTTACTTAGGACATTTCTTGTTGAAAAGTGGAACTGCATGAGAAATCATGTATTCGTTAATGAAGAATTAATCAAGAATGGGAATGGCACAATTGGAATGGTGTCTTGCATTTGAATTCAGATGCCACCTTCAACCCACCATTGATTCTAGAAGTTAGGAGCATGGTTGTTAAAGGTTATTTTCATGAAATAAATTGGATAACTCTGCCGAATCTTTTTCATACGATAAGAGTTTGTTGAAATCAATTTCATTAGAATAAGTCATTGTTGGCTTATTCAGACAATTAATTATACTTATAAGCAGAATAAGCCAACTAATGCTACCAAACCGATATAGAACTTCATCTGCTATGTTTTTTTTGTGTGTGCTATACCTATTGCAGGCTATGCAAATAGACAAAATTTCAGGCAAGTTCCACCATATCACAGAAGAGATAGAAGATGCACTAGGTCACATTCCTTACGATAAGCTTGACATATCCGAGGAAGTTCAAGAACAAGTACCTCTTTTTTTATGATCTCTTCTCTTTTTATTTCAAGAGTTCGTTATCTTGGACTTATTATGATAGTATATGTTTCACATGCCTTGATTTCAGATTGAGCTTGTGCATGCTCAATTTCGAAGGGCGATAACAAAGATTGAATTACCCGATTTGCAACTGGAAATTGATTTGGCCATGGCACAAAGAGAAAAAGATCCTGACCCGATAATATTTGAAAGACTATCAGAAAAGTTGCATCTCAAGACCATAAATGACCTTAAAAAGGAATCACTCTCCATCCATGATATGGTCATTTCTTCTGAAGGTATTCCAGAGTGCTTTGAGGCAATGTCATATATTCTGAGAAAAATAAAGGATTGTGTTCTGATTGGAAATCCTGATGACGATGAGGCCCCTAAGAGTGAAAAAACTTTAATTAAGCACAGATCACATATCATACCAGATGATTTTCGATGTCCGATATCACTTGAGTTGATGAAAGATCCGGTTATTGTATCTACTGGCCAGGTTAGTATTCACATGTGATGTAGTTGTGGTTGTTGAGCTATCCTACATTGAACGTCTGTTAGATTTGAGTTGTAAATTCTCAAGTAAGCCTCTTACCTCTTGAGGATCTTTTTGAGGTGATTTGATCCCAGTTTTAATACTCTTTTTTCTGCATTCTCTCCCCTTTGCAGACATATGAAAGGTCATGCATACAGAAATGGTTGGATGCAGGGCACAAAACCTGCCCTAAGACACAACAGACCTTGCTGCACACGGCATTGACTCCCAACTATGTCATGAAGAGCCTGATTGCATTGTGGTGTGAGAGCAATGGTGTTGAGCTTCCTAAAAACCATCAAGGGAAGTGTCTGAGCAAACAGTCAGGAACGGGCGGTTTGGACTGCGATCGTGCCGCTATTGATTCATTGTTACAGAAACTTGCAAATGGCAGTCCCGATGAGCAAAGGGCAGCTGCGGGCGAGCTCCGTTTACTTGCAAAAAGAAATGCGGACAACCGGGTGTGCATTGCGGGGGCAGGCGCTATTCCACTTCTAGTCGAACTACTCTCTTCATCGGATTCTAGAACACAAGAGCATGCAGTCACTGCCCTTCTTAACTTGTCCATAAATGATGGTAACAAGGGTATTATTGTAAATGCGGGTGCCATATCTGATATAGTAGAGGTACTGAGGAACGGTAGCCCGGAAGCCAGAGAGAATGCAGCGGCAACACTGTTCAGTTTATCGGTTGTCGATGAGAATAAGGTGGCGATCGGGGCAGCCGGAGCCATCCCAGCCCTCATTGATTTGCTGTGCCGTGGGACCCCAAGAGGGAAAAAGGATGCGGCGACTGCCATATTCAACCTCTCAATTTACCAAGGGAACAAAGTTAGGGCAGTGCGGGCAGGGATTGTGACACCACTCATGAGGTTGCTCAAAGATCCTGGAGGTGGGATGATAGATGAATCACTAGCTATATTGGCTATACTTGGGAGCCATCAAGAGGGGAAAGTGGCCATTAGTCAAGCTGAGCCGGTCCCGGTTTTGGTCGAGGTGATTAGGACCGGTTCCCCACGGAACCGGGAGAATGCCGCGGCTATTTTGTGGGCCCTCTGCACGGGTGGTGGTGGTGACTCGCCGAACCTGAAAGCCGCTAGGGATCTTGGGGCGGAAGAGGTACTGAAAGGGCTGTCTGAGAATGGGACTGATAGGGCCAAGAGAAAAGCGAGCGCCGTTTTGGAGCTTCTCCAGCGAGTTGATACTCCATAGTTTGGGCACCACAAATCCCTCTTTTGCTTTCAAGAGGTATGTATATGTATGGTATGTGTGCCATGGTAACTGAAAGTTTGAAATTCACGCTGGTTAAAGAATGTTTTCTGTACATACGGTTGAATAGCACATAATCGAAGCCTTGCTTACTGCAACATCACAAGCTGTATATTCAAAGGGTTTCTTGAATTTGAAACGATTTTTGTATGTATGCTACAACTTCTGTCCGACAATAGTTTTTTAAAGAGTAAATTCCATAATTAATCCTTTATAACAGGAGAGTTTCCCCATTTAGTCCTCTATTATCAAATATTATCTCAGTGGTCTTTTTATGGGTATCTTTCCACAAATAGTTCTATTTTTGATCTTCTATCATGTTGGTGTTAATTTGAGGGCTAAAAGTGTAATTTCACAATGATAATATATCTTTTTTGTCATACACAATTCTAAAGGTTGTTCCGTTTGCGTCGTTTGTGAATTACAGTCGCTTTTCACTACAATCATAGTCTACAAATGTGGTCTTTCGTTGGAATCCTAGCCCACAATCAAAGTAATTATTTTTGTGTTATCCGCTTAACAAATATCAGAACACGTCACTAGACATAATGTTGATGTCAAATTATACTTTTAGCCTTTAAATTAACACCAATACGGCAGAAGATAAAAAAAGACCATTTGTGGAAAGGTACCCTTAAAAAAAGGACTACGGGGATAATATTTTATAATAGAGGACTAAATATGGAAACCCCCCTGTTATAAAGGATCAATTATGGAATTTCATCTTTTTTGAATTTCTTGTTATGTCCCAAAATAATTTTACTCGACGACAATGTGAAACCCTACCCTCGTAGGGTTTATTATTTCATTACTTCTGATCTGATTGAAATAAGTGTTGATATATTGAAATAAATATTTTCAAAATTTAAAAAAAATTGTGTGAGAAGGTCCATGTGGACCTTAGGTCCACCATAGAACCTCTTTAAAAAATGGGTTCGGTTGTTTGGCTCATCTCTGCCCATATAACTATAAATACACATGACAAAACAGAGCTGGAACCGATTATCTGAATTGAATGATTCGAAACCAAAATGGTCCGAAAAGTGAAGATTCGGTTTATAACTGAATAACCAAAATGATTCGAACCGAACTAATTATATTCATTCTCGATTTATATTCGGAATCGATTAGATCAAAAATCGATTAAATTTGAAACCGGTTAGATCCAAAACGAATAAGACTCGAAATCATTAAAATCCAAAATCGATAAAACTCGAAACTGATAATATCCAAAACTGATTCTGCGTGACAATAAAAATATTATATTTATGTTCATTAGTGAAGTTTTATGTTCATGTGATTTCAAATTTTTACTTTATTTTACCATTTGAACTAGTTATATAGCTGTATACTTGTATTACTTACTCCTATGTCCCAAAATGAATTACCAAATCTAAACAAAATATAAAAAAAAATTCATATGTTTTAAACTTATTTATTCATAAATTAGTATTATATATCAAAATGGACAATACAACTAACATGAAAAAATTTAGTTAAAAGTTAGACAAACTAGAACAGATTTAAAAAGACATTTTCACCCCCCCTCATGTAATATTGTGTGGTTGGCCAAATATATGCTTTGAATTGCATTTAATTTCACTCAAATCATATCTATTTGCATTCATTTTTTCTTCAATTTCAACATATTTTAACTAAATTATATGTAGTTTGGTAATTCAATTATGTTAATTTTATATCAGAAGAAAGTATTTTTTATTTAATAATTTGTAACTTAAATTTATAAAACATAACTAAAAAGATAAAAATAGAAGATATTTAGGGTAAGTGGTTATAATTTAAAAATATAAAATAATATGAAGTGATACATTGATGATAGATAGATATAACAAAAAAATAAACGGTTGATTAATTTTAAATTTGAAAATAACATGTTTGTAAATATATCCGAAACTGAAACGTACTCGAACTGAAATATATTCGAACCAGAACGTATTTGAAACAAAAAATGATCCGAACCTACAGACATACGAACCAAATCTGAACCAATTTGGAATCGAATCAAAACTGAATAGAAATTAAACAAATTTGGAATCGAATCAAAACTGAATAGAAATTATGAAAAATTATCCAAAATAATCCCAACTTTACCCGGTCTTTCAAAAATAATCTCATCTTTTAGTGTGATGCATAATAATCCGAACTTTACTGAATTTTGCGAGTTTTGGGTCGCCGTTAAGTTTCTAACAGAGGGTTAACGGAAATGCCTATCTTGAGCAACAAAATGAAAGTTGGGATTATTTTTGATGAATTTTCATTTTTTTATTTTTTTTTTGAATTTTTCATTTAAATTTTTAAAATTACTTTCTACCTCCATCATCATTTCTTTTTCCTTTTTTCAAGATTAGTCTTAGTTTAAAAAAATAAAAATAATAGATATAAAAAAATAAAAAATGAGAAATGTAACTAAAATTATACAAAAATAATAAAATAAATAAGTTAATCAATAGAAACTAACTTGAAATTGGTAATAAATAAAATAAAAATATACGGGTGGGTTTTAATATTTTACGCATTATACAAAGTATTAACGTATCACTTCTTATTTTTTAGAAAACATTATCTACAATAATTCCAACTTTACCAGAAGGCTTGTTTTTTAAAAAATTAGTACATTAAGACTCCGTATAGTGTGTAAAATGTTAAAACCCACAACTCCGTATATATTTATTTTATTTCTTACCAGTTTCTGTTTAATTTCTATTGATTACATTATTTATTTCATTAATTTTGTATGGTTTTAGTTATTTTTCTCATTTTCATTGTTTTTATATCTATTTTTTTATTTTTCCTAAGGTAAGAATAATCTTTAAAAAAGAAAAATAAATGGAGGTTGAAAGTAATTCCAAAAATTTAAATAAAAATTTAAAAAAAAAAATTAAAAAACAAAAATTCATAAAAAAATAATCACAACTTTCATTTTGTTGCCTAAAACAGGCATTTCCGTTAACCCTCCGTTAGAAACTTAACGGCGACCCAAAATTCGCAAATTTCAATAAAGTTGGGATTATTATGTATCACAGTGAAAGGTGAAATTATTTTTAAAAGATCGACTAAAATTAATATTATTTTGGGTAATATTTCTTAGAAATTAAACCATACCTATGGCAATGTCATCCGAGCCCACCCCTTTTCTTGGAAACGGAATTCGATTGCCACTTTAACATACTTTAACATAAAGTGGCAATCCACCTACACACGAACTAAAGCTGAGCCCAGGCAAACCACCGTAACTCTAGCCCGGCTCCAATGGCGGCTATACCACCGTTGGTAGCGGCGGCCACCTCCGCCTCAGCCTTCACCAATCTCTCGAGGTCACATCCTTTAGCTCGCTTAACTCAGTTTCATCTCCGGCGAATAATCACGGCCTCTCTATCCACTTCCACCAGCTACATCTCTTTCGTGCCTTCCAAACCTAATCCACCCTCAAAATTGAGAAACGGCTGGGAGATCGAAGCAGATGAACTGTTCCACATCCCAGGGATCGTTCGCGACGGAAACAGGAACCGCGCTCTTCAGCCAACCAGTCCGGTGCGTCGTCTCCACACGGTGACAACTGAGAAGACGAGCAGTACGAAAAAGAAGAGCCAGAGCACTTCTAAGTATTCCAAAGCTGCTCGCCGGTTCTATAACGAGAATTTTGGAGACCCTCCGCAACGCCTTAGCAAAATCCTTGCTGCCGCGGGAGGTAATGGACACATTTCTTTTTTATTTCAATGTTTGTAATACCCATTACTATCTTTTGTCTTTAGCAAGCTCTTGTTGGCTTTCTGTATGTGTTAAATTTGCTACTTTTCTCAAATCACTCATCTCCATCATTTTCAAGTTTACAACAATGTAGGATTGCTAGCAAGATATGATATTTCACAATATGATCAGTTGGGACAATCTATAAGAGCTTTTTACTGAGTACTATAAGATATTTTTCTTTGTTGAATAGTTGCATCAAGACGGAGCTGTGAAGAACTGATTTTTCAGGGGGGAGTTACTGTGAATGGTTCCGTTTGCAATATTCCACAGGTAAAGTGCATTAGGGTTAGGGAAAATTGAAATGTTGGTCTCCAATAAGTGTTTGAATTGTTGATGCAATCTTCCAAAACTAGTGCATCACTGAATCACTTTTTAGTCTTTGAGAAGCCAATAGAAGTGTAGGAAATGGTCATTTGGACCATTTACAGTTTTACACCACTTCACAATGCAACAACAGTGTTCCTGGAGATTTATGTTCTGCCATGGGTCCTAAAGAGCTAAAACTAGATATATTGCGGAGTATATTCTAGAGGTGTTTTTCATATTATTGATTTTATTTATTGTATTGGACAGACCAGGGTTGATCCAGCAAAGGATATAATTTATGTTAATGGGAGGCGTATATCTAAGAAATTGCCTCCAAAGGTTTACTTTGCATTGAACAAGCCAAAGGGGTTAGCTTATCTTCCCCTTGACTCACCAAGCATCTTTCATTTGTGCTCTGTTTTGCAAATAGTGTCATTGTTGATGATATTTTAGGTACATTTGTTCATCTGGCGAGAAAGAGACCAGGCCGGTCATATCCCTTTTTGATGATTTTCTGAAGAGCTGGGTATGTATCATATCTATATGCACTTGTCTTTTGTTGACTTGATAGGAGTATTATTTTATTTTGTTTTTGAGTTAAGGAGAGTACACTTGTTAAATTGGGTCTACTTTGACTCAACATGATCTTCACAAAGTAAGTTTACCCTAACATTAATATATTCAGCTCAAACCCAGTAGACACTCAAAGTGGGATATTCAACACATTCCCTGCTCTCCACTGGGATAGGCAACTGAAGTGGTAGACAAAATGGGCCCAACTCAACCAAACGGACTTCCCCAATCCACCAAGTGGGAGCCCCCCCCGGCCAAAAAAACCATCATGCTCTAATATCATGTTAAGTTGGCCTTGAGGTGGGGGCGCCTGGGGTGGGCGATTCCACCTTTTGGACCGATGTTAAGTTGGCCTTAACTCTAAATGATTATGAAATGTGAGATTTACCACACATTAGATAGTAAACCCAAACCCAGTAAAGGATCAATATGAGATACTCAACAACCTTTTTGGCAGGGAAGAAGGGGCCAATGGGGTCAGGATGTAGGAATTGTCCTAAATAAATCTTGGTTTTTCCAGCAGCAATTCATTGACGTGTTTTCATGTGCTCTACTTTTTTGTCTCAGAATAAAAAGCATCCAGGAGACCCTAAACCGCGGCTATTTACAGTGGGACGCCTTGATGTAGCAACAACTGGCTTGATTATTGTGACAAATGATGGTAATGTTATATCAAGTGTGACTTGGCAAGTTGCATCTCTATTCTTCTGTTCATTAGAGATAACTTATGCATTTCCTATGGTTCCTGAATCTTGATATTGTTCCAGGAGAGTTTGCTCAAAAACTTTCACATCCCTCATCAAATATGTCAAAGGAGTAAGGTTTTATCTTCTTCTCTTAACTTTTGATGCTTATGCCTATTTTTGTTCATTTGGAACTGTTTTTCTTTATTTTCATTAATATCTTCGCATTAAAAAATACAGGTGACAGTAGAAGGAAAAGATGTATTTGTAATTGGTCTCTTCTTATTGTGGCATATTACTTTTGGCCCGTATGTGCAAAAGCGGCCAAATTTTGTCCTTGACTATTTTATTCTTTTGGTGGGGGTTCACAAATAGCAAGTTTGTGAATTGTGACTTTTTTGTTTGTGACTCTAGCATTGTTCTTTTTGTTCTAGGTCTGGTCTTTCATCTGGAAAGTGCATTTTTTTAAAGTTGGGTACCAGTTGTGGCTGGTTTAACGGGTTTAGAGTTAGATCTGAATTGAAAAATACAATAGGCAAGTACTAACTAAAACAATTCATATTAAAACTGATTCACATTTGTACGTTAGGATATGTATTTTATGAGTATCAATTAAATAAGTACATGTCTATGAATGTTCTCTGAAAAACAAAACATTTATTGGGAGACCAAAAGGAGAAACTTCAACAAATATTGTATTAAAAGTTTCCTTTATCAGATCTTTATGATTAAGTTGAAGCATTCTAAATACTTTTGATGTTTAGAGTTGTTGAAATTGGCCATCTTGCCTTGTCGGTGTACGATATCATGTTATACAAGTATACAACTGTTGCAGATACATTGCAACAGTAGAAGGGGAGGTCAATAAAGGACACATGAATGCTCTCTGTGAGGGAACAACCATTGAAGGCGTCCAATGTATACCAGATCTTGTGGAATTACTACCAAAACAGCTTGGTATCTCTAGGCATCGCCTTCGGATAGTGGTACTGTACCCCTTTTCTTTTGTTTGTTTCTATTTTAAAAATGTGGGGAATTGAAGAGCAACCCTGAATATTTTGTGTTCTTTTCTTTCATAAGTAGACATATATAAGGTCGTTAATAACTATAATAAAATTTGCGTCATAGGTGGAATAATCAGATGCACAAAAAATGTTATTCTCATTGTCCTCTGAGTAGCAGGGCTATTATGGTGTGGCTTGCAAGTCTAGAAAATCCAATTTTTTTTATATAAATAAGCTGTGCATGGAATTTAAAACAATAAAACCATTTGGACCAAATAAAGCAGGGCATGTCTTGCAAGTCTAAACAATGAAGTCACTTGGATCAAATAAAGCAGTTTCTTGCACAATGAGGTTCATGTATTATACAAAGATGATGGACTGTACAATATACATGTTAAACTTCTGTTTACATTGGGTCAGGTTCACGAAGGAAGAAACCATGAAGTTAGGGAGATTGTTAAAAATGCAGGACTCGAGGTGCATTTGTGTTGTTGATACGAACCTTTTTTATCCTTATCATTTTCATTATTATAGATAGTGAATGCTCTTCATGTCTTGTGCTATATACTATAGTCAATGTTAAAAAGTCTGTTGATTTATCCTTTATTATCGTTCTTGTTATTTTAGATTCATGCACTGAAGCGTGTGAGAATAGGCGGTTTCAGACTTCCATCAGATCTTCCGTGAGTTGTTATTTGGCTCTTATGCTCTTTCCCGTCATCATCTTCCTCTTATTACTAGCTTGGCTTTTTTTTTGCAGGCTTGGGAAGCACGTTGAACTCAAACCAGCTAATCTGAGGACGTTAGGCTGGAAGAAATAGGAATGTTAATTTCACAAGCGAAGGAAAGGTCCTTAGTATTAGTGTGTAAAAATTTATGGGGACTAATTTTCTTCCGAACCCGCTCTTTGGAGGACAAGAGGGCGGCGGGACTAGAGGAGGGGAGTGAGGACACAGCCGTGTGGTTAGGTGGTTGGCGGAAATACGCAACCAGTCATGGCGGTGCTAGCACTAGTTGGCGACATTAGACACGGCGGAGGAGGCTGCCAGGGGGTGGCAGCCCAGTGGCGGATGGGTTCCGGCAACGACTTCTTACCTCCATCAGTACTTTTCACTTCTTCTTGCACACTAAATTTTAAGGGCCTTTGGGTGTTTTAAGAGAATATGTATGAGGACCTTTGAGTTGTACTCCAAAACCTATGTCACCGGTGTGGCTGGGTGACCTGGGAGTTGTTTTTTGGATAAAAGTAATGGAAAATGAAATAAGATTAATATTTAAACATAAATTTGTACGGAGTACAAGTTGTACAACCAGTACTTACACAACACAAATGGGTAAATATTAGAGATAATATTCATTTTGGTCCCTCTAAGAGCAACTCCAATGGTAAGAGGTATCTTGGAGAGGTATATATCTCATTTACCTCTTTAAATGATCAAGTTTACCTTTCCAAAAAGTGTGTAACTCCAATGGACGAAGGTAAATCAAAAGGAAAAAGAGAGAAAAAATCTATCTCCATACATTATTGGGAAAAAATTAGTTGATTTACCTTCTTAAATCAAATTTTAATTATTAGAAAAGAAAAAATATACATTCTTAAAAAAATCATGGGGAGGTAAATTTGAGGTTTGTTGCCTTTGTATCTTCTTGATTAAATTTTTAAATTTAAAGATTTTATAAAAATACAACTAATTTATTGGGAAAAAAATTAGAATGTCAGTTTTGAAATAATTAAATATACATTATGTCTAATTACACATATAAAATTATAAATACCCGAATAGAAAAAACTTAAAAATACAGAGTGCAAAATTAAAAAATAAAGTATCTTTTTTTTGTTAATTCTTGACTAGTTAAGTTTTACAATGACAAAGATACAAATTAAAAATTTATAATAACACATTCAAGCAAAAATACAATAACTAAAGTAATTGAAGAAATACATTTAAAAGGTGGGAAAATTTGATATACCTCCCCAAATCAAGAAGGTAAAGATACCTTTTCAAAATTGAAGAAGGTATAATACCTCTTTATTTACCTCTCCCATTGGAGAATAATTTTTAATGAAAAGAGGTATATATCACAAATATTCCTCTTTACCCTTTCATATACCCCTTCCATTTAAGTGTATTCAAAATTTAGTTTCGTCCGTGTAAGTTCATTTGAGTCAAATAAATTTCTATATATAAAAAATGTGAACCAAGTAAGCCCTTCGAATGAAATTTATCTCATAAAATTTTGAGTGATCACATATTCACATTAATTGATGCAAAAGCAATGACCTTGTGAATTATTTTTTTTGCGACAATTATAATGTTAATTTAGAGTTTTAGAAGATTAATTTTGCATAAACAACTAATTTGATTCATATTTCCATGTTACAGAGACTAATTTGATTAAATTGAACTTACACGGACCAAATTGACTCGTGAATGTACTTATAGAGACCAAAACGAGTATTTACTCGTAAGTATATTGATTATAAGTACACCATTTAGATAAAACCAGTAAAACTCATTCTCCACCACAAACAAAAAATGAGATCGTAGTTGAAAATTGAGTAAATTTTATAAATGGTCTTTTATAATATGAGAATTTTCTATTTAATTCTTTATTATTAAATATTATCCTTCTGTTCTATCTTTTATAAATATCTTTCGACAAAGAGTCATTTTTTGATCATCTATCATGTTAGTGCTAATTTGAAGACTAAGAGTGTAATTTCACAATGATCATAATCTTATTGTCATACACAATTTTTGAGGTCGCTTCTATTATGTTGCTTGTAACCTTTCCACTACAATCATAGTTTAAAGATGTTGTCTTTCGTTGGAATTTAGTGTACAGTCATAGTTATTTTTGTTGTGTTGTCCGTCTAACTGAAATTAGAATACATCACATAATATAATGTTGATGTCAACTTCTACTTTTAGCCTTCTAATTAACATCAATATGAGAGAAGACCAAAAAAGAATTACTTTTGACATCAATATTAACATCAATATGACAGGAGGCCAAAATGAAGGTTTGAAGCCCCAGTTTGAAGCCTCGGAGCTTCAAACTCATTTCCACTGAGATTATGAGGTAAGTTAAAGTTGATGTGGCAAAGAGATTAGGTTTGTTACCCCGATTTGAAGCCCCGGGGCTTCACGTGTATTTCCAGTGCTCTTATTGAAAGATACTTATAAAAGAAAGATCACAGGAGTAATATTTGATAATAGAAGACTAAATATAAAAAATCTCATGTTATAAAAGATCAAATATGGAATTTACTCTTGAAGATTTTACCAATTTTAAATTACCCCTCCGTCTCGAATTGGATGCCACAGTCACTATTATGGCTTCTCGATAACTTTTGTTTGTTTGTATATTTTCATTAATAATTTAATAAAATAAAATATTTTTGTCATATCTTGTTTAATAAAGTTTTTAATGTACTTTTATATGATTTATACTAAAATAATTGGGGTAGAGGGGGGGGGGGTGCATTGCTCTATCAACAAGTGGAATACATTGTGATTTGTGAGTAATGACAAATTTATCTCTTAAAATATTTTTGACCAGAGCGACTTATTAATCTCAAAGAACTAATGATATGTTTGGGAATATGAATTTGGATTTCAAATCTGGATTTGGCTCAAATTTCATGTTTGGAAAACTTACAAATTTTGAATTTGGATTTGAATCAAATTCTTCTCATTCATAACAAAACTTAATTTTAAATCCATGCGCCTCCCTTATCATTTGAAATTCAAGATTTCAAATTTTAGAATTGAAATACATGAATTGAAATGAAATCGTAGTTGCCAAACACTACCTAAAGTTATTTTATCAAACACGTGTACTTTCAAATGAGCTCAAATTGAAGGAATACAAATTGTTTTTTTTTTGTAAATCTTGTTTGCATGCCAAAGAGAGCCCTCCTAGTCTACCATTGACTTCGGATTTAGACTGTATTTCATTCACCTGATCTGATTTGACATAATTTTTTGAAGATCTGATATGGTCTTGATATGATTGCAATTATAATTAAAACTATTTCTGATCTGGTCTGAACTCATCTGATTATAATAAGAATAAGTAATAAGCAGAAAAAATAAGTTGAACGGAACGCTCCGTTAGTCGGTTTATAGACATTTTAAAGCATGAAAATTAAATTCTCTTTGCATAGTAGAACAAGACAAGCACTGTTCTGGGCAATTGCATTTCGTGCCAAAACTACTGATTACATTTTGGTGTATTACAGGTCAAAACGTTTCCAAAAGAGTTATTGAACCTAATCCAAAGTCATACCAAAGAAACTGTAATGTGTGGAGCATTCAAGTTGGCAAAGGACCGACGAAGCGCGGTGTTGCACTGGAAGTATGAAGTGAACTGAAGAGAAGAGCAAGGATGGGCACCAGTAGAAAACTAAGCGAGACCAATAAGAACATCTTCTTCAAAGTAAGGGAGTTAGAACAATTCTTCTCTCGTCGGGTCGAGCCACAGACCTCTCGCACTACAACCTCCACCAAAGCATCCACGAGTCTCTTGGGCTGCCGCAGAGAAATGCCATGGGAATTATTCATGGGACGAAATAGTGCCTGTCTTAGATGCTTGATTGCTATTTCTGTCTCCATTGAAGTCTTTTCTTCAGCACTCTGGGACAGGTAGGTTGAAGCAGTGCTGGTTGTGAACATATTAGAAGAAATCCCAAATGTTGATACTGTGGTGGGGTCATGGAGAAAGATATTCCCTGATGAAGTTGGAGCTTCTGGAAGCAGTGGAAAAACAAAGCTCTGGAGCTCCTTCAATCATTAACCACCCCCGGTTATTTCTTTGAACAATCAAAGTTCAAAAATATACAAAGTGGAGTGGAGTATAAAGCAAAACTGATGAAGATCCAGAACATTCTAATTTGCTAGCAAAGATCTTACAACTGAGATATGCATTAGCCCAATTCAGTTCTGAGAAGGATCATAAAACATCACTACAAAATCACAAACTGCCCTCAAAGTAGGGTGAAGAAAGTAAAGCAGCAAATTGAAATGGAAATATGCATAAGATATAACAGACCAGAAGAAACAGCCACAGCATTGTATCTACGAGTAGTAAATGCATTTGTAAACGCTGTGGATCAATATTTATACAAAAAAAAAACTACTACGTACTACACGCCCCTATACATCCCAATAGGTACGAATCTGAACATGAAATTGATGATCAGAATTTGAAATTACCTCATTCGATTCAGTAAGTTGAACGTCATCTACAACCTCTGAGATAAGAGAGAATTCAGCAGATTCATTCTTCCTCGCGTTCTGCAAAATATGTAGAAGATAGGTGATGAGCTTATGAACACAAGCATGATGCATACATGAATGTGCTAGAAAACATGCCGATCAGATCCAGGAAACGAACGCAAAGCTTTTGGAGTGATCGGGAACAGCTTTTGATCTGCGAACTACTAGACGAACCTATACATCCCAGTAGGAACAAACCGAACATGAAATTGATAATAGGATTTAGGAATTTGAAATTACCTCAGTGGATTCATAAACCTCTGAGATAAGAGAGAAATCAGCAGAATCCTTTGGCGATTCAGACAAGGCAACACCTTCTACGAGCGTGTCGAACTCGGAATTCATGTTCTTCCTCGCATTCTGCAGAATAGGTAGAAGATCGGTGATGAATTTATGAACACAAGCATGAAAGCATGCTGATCAGATCCAGGAAACGAACGCACTTTCAGAGGCTTTTTGGAGTGATCTGGAGCGGATTTCGATCTGCGATAAGCGGAACTGGAGGGATTCCCCATCTCTGTCTCTCTCTCTCTCTCTCGGTCAGCTTCGCGTTGGCGGAAGGTTTGAATTTCGTCCAATGGAGGGAAGCTGGGCAAATCTTTTGGAAAATTTGGAGGCGAAAACGAACTGGGCTTGAAACCCAATATATAGCCTACTCAATTGTGTGGTAATGAGATTGACAACCGGAAAGCACTTGTAATGGGTTCAAACCACCCAACGCGTAGAGAGAGGTCCACTCCAATCCAATGCTTGACCTCGAAGATGAACCTTTAACCATTTTTTACTCCGTATTATTTACTCTCTTTTCTTATAAAATTCTTTATATTTTTTATACTTGGTATATGTTCAAAACAAAAAACATGCTATACAATTACTTTATTTTTTATTTTGGTAATTAATTGTAAATAAAATCTCTCTTCTTTAAAAAAATTCTTAGCATATATTTTTTCTTCTGTCTCAGAATAATTGTTTAGTTTTGATTTTTTGAAACCAACTAGATCAATATTTCACTAATATTTAAATCAAATTAAATGGTATATTATTTAGATAGAAAAATATTATACAAGATAATTCTAATATGAATATTATTTAAATAATGGTAACAGTTCATCAATTTTTAGTATAAAAAGTTAAAATGAGACAAATAGTCAAGGACGAGATAGTTGATGGATTCTAAGGATGAAGATAGTAAAGTAGTAAAGAGAGAAAGTTCAACAGTGTAGCATTCAACCATTAGAATCTTGTACCCTCATTGAATAAGGTCTACTTATAGCTTGCATTGACAGCTCAACTGATCTTAGAAGTAAAATTTGGAATAAGAGACACAGGATCAAGCCTCTCCAGTGGGAGTGTGGGAGCAACCTCTCAAAAAATGAGGGGGGCTCCTTTTGCATAGTGATCACTAGTATTAGTCTCTATTGTCGGTTAAGTCACCACGATTTACATCCTCTCACAATCGCGTTAGGTAAGGGGTGAGGGGGCCGGGGTGAGCAATTTCGCCTTTTGGAACAAGGAAGTCTATTTATACATTAGAGCATGGGCAATGACATTGAGCCTCCCATGCCTTGCTGCCACATCATCATAGAGGGCACTATTCCATGCGTGGATGAAGCATGGCACCTCTCTTTGCAAGTCACAAGCGTGGCAATCTTGCCCCCCATTTTAATATTTTTATTTTTTTTCTATTCTTTTTTTGACGAAAAAAATCTGTTAATTTTTTTTGAGTAAGTAGTAATATTTTTATGATAAATAAAATAAGTATAATAATTTTTAATAATTAAAATATGTCAAAAAAATATAATAAAGATAATAAAAACAATGAGTTGTCATTGTAAGGTCTGACACTCCACTCATTTGCCACACGCTGACTAGCTTTTTTTATTGATTAAAATACTCCACGTCAGCGTGTGTCATTCCACTCGTTACTTGTCATTGCCCATGCTCTTAGAAGTAGTGGGCCCAAGTAATTATAAATTACAACACTAGTACTCATTAATTACATTTGTCCTATACTATAGCACTTCTTTTCTCATCAGACTTGGGGATAGTTTCCATGGTAGGGGTGGTTTGTTGACTCGGGGAGTTGACCACGAGGTGGGTTCTATGATGGTCCTTGACGTAGCCCAAGCATAGGAGCGAAAGGGTGCGAGCTCTTCACATGGCCAACCATGCCAAACCCTCTCCTTGGCGTGTTGATGACCGACCATGCCAAACTCTCTTAAAATAATATCTCAAATTTTACTATGATGCATAATAATCTCAATTTTACTGAAATTTGTAAGCTTTGAGTTGCCATTAAGCTGCTAACGGCGGGTTAATAGAAATGACCTATTTTCCGCAACAAAATAGAAGTTGACATCATTATTGATAATTATTTTTTATATGAAATTTTCCCATAAATTTTTAAAATAAATTTCTACCTCCATCATCATTTTTCTTTTTTAAAAAAAAGTTAGTCCTACCTTAGAAAAAATAGAAAATTTTATATAAAAAAATAATGAAAATGTCCCAAAATTAATGAAATAATGAAATATATGTTAATAAATAAAAACTATACGGAGAAATAAAAATAACGAAATTAATGAAATAATTAAATATATAAGGTAATCAATAAAGGGAAATGACTAAAGTAGGAGTAAAATATTGAAAATATATCAAAATGGAAGCTTTATGCTTTTATTCTCAAAATAAGACTTAAAATGCATTTATAATGCCAATCATTACCATGTATATTACCAAAAAAATATTGTGAAATGACCATTCAAAAAATAAAAATAATAAATAATAAATAACGTTTTATTTCTTATTTTTTAGTTTTATTTCCATTTTTAGGTTTTAATAAGAAAATATAGTAGTTTTCTATTCTCAATTTTTTTTTATTTTTACCAACACAAGAAAACAATACATTAATACTCCATATAGTGTCTAAAATGTTAGAATCCACCACTCTACATAATTTTAGTTTTATTTAAAAAACAAAACAAAAATTTTTAAAAAAAAAATCAGTAAAGTTGAGATTATTATGTACTACAATAAAAGGTGAATATTTTTGTGAAAGAACGTGTAATGTTGGAATTATTCAAGATAATTTTTCCTCAAACATTCAAAGTAATAAAAAGGTACTTTAATTTCAATTTGTAGCAAAAAGGTACTTCAACTATAAAATTTACAACAAAAAGGTATCCCAAACCAGTTTACATTCACCAACAGGTCACAAGGACCAAAATTGCAATTCTTCATCTTATTGTATTGGGAAAAAAACTAAAATAGGAGTAAAATATTGAAAATATACCAAAATAAGAGTTCTATGTTTTTATTCCCGAAATAGGAGTCAAAATGCATTTACATTACCAATCATGTCCACGTACATTACCAAAAAGTATAGTAAAATGCACATTGCAATGTCACATTAGTGTAGCGCAAACTCTTATTTAAGGAATAAAAACATGAAACTCCTATTTGGGTATTTTTTCTATATTTTAGTCTTACTCCATTATTTAGGGTGATTTCTTAATTTTATTTTACTTTTGAACATATTTATTTCTTGTTCTATTAAGTTAAATTCGGTTACACATTTATCCTATTTTTCTTCTTTTTCTAATAAATCATTCCAAGTTAATTTAATTAATACGGAGTATTTTATTTTAATTTTATCCTTTTATTATTGTATATATTAAATAGAGAAAAAGTTTCAAAGTTATCCCTAATGGTTCACGAAATTTATATCAATCTATGTTTTGGTCTAGACATCAAATCGCCTTTTTCAGGTATCGAGTTATATCAGTCCTCTATAAGACTATTGAATTTTAATATATGTTTAATATTTAAAATTACCCGTTTTCAAAATTTAACTTTCACTATATGTTGAGATTTAAAAATGTTAATTTTGAAAGAGTTCAATCAAAAATTAAACCTATATCAAAATTAAATTAATCTTATAACCTAGACTAAAATAACTCGTAAACTCACATGAAAAAGGTTAATTTTGAGGTTCAAACCAACTACATATTCATGAAATGGTTCATTTGGTGCTCCTCATTTTTTTTACAAAGTCCGAAGGGGCTACCCCAATCTATCATTTATATTTTTTCTCAACCTAATGAGCCATAAAGAGCCCATGCATCCGCCTCCTGATTGAACTTTCTCATTAGTCCTGCAAAGTCAACTTTGTTATTAGTCCTGCAAAGTGAACTTTGTCATTAGTCCTGCAAAGTGAACTCTCATTGCCTTCGTTAGGGTTATTTGATTTGAATTAATTAATGAAATATACTCCGTAGTTTATTTCACAACGAGTTGTTTTTTAATGAGGTGATGACACTTTTCAAGAAGTTGAATGAGATAAGTCGCATATGATTAGTCATTCAAAAACCATACGGCGCTTTATATTACTCCCTCCGTCTTAAAATTAATTTTTCATTTAACTTTTCACGGTCTTCAATGCGACACTTTGACCTTCAATATCTCAATTTTTATATAAATATATTTTATAAAAATTATATATTTCAAAACTATATTTCAAAATGAATATATAACGAATAAATTTATATGAAAATTCAATGTATTTTTTCCGTAATATACGGTCAAAGTTTAAAAAATTTGACTACAAAAGTCAAACTGGGAAATTAATTTTAGGACGGAAGGAATAAGATTAATTGAATAGTCAGGATAGGGTCTGTTTGAAAACTAGAAAAATGACTTCTAGATGTCATTTTCTAACTTTTTAGTGTTTGGCAATGAGAGAAAAAAATAGGGGCAAAGGAGAATTAATTCTTGGTCAACTTCCGAATCTTTTTTGGGTTAGGCAGCATTCTGTTCAACTTATTTTTTTTACTTATTACTTATTCTTATTATAATCAAATCGAATCACACCAAATTAGACCAAATCAGAAACAGCTTTACTTATAACTACAATCAAATCAGATCAGATCTTTAGAAAATCAAATTAGATTAGACCAGGTGAACAGAACGCAACCTCACTGTTCTATTTTCGTCACTCACTCATCCTCATTCATCATCATCGCCCTTCTCTCAAGTCTCAACTCCTCAACCGCCGCCCGCCGAACTCCCCCGATCACAACCGCCTCTGTGTCACTGCACCCATCTCCTTTCTTCTCCATCATCTCGTTCTTCTATGGCTGTGAAATCTCAATTTTGTGTAGATTTGATTCCATCTGCCCTCCCCAAAGGATTTCATCTCTTTCTGTGCAGTTTTTAGTCCATGTGTGAATGGAACATGGAATTGGTTCGAAATACTCCATATAAGCCTTTTGAATTGATTTTCGCATTTTATAACATTTTCTTATCCTTATTTTCTAGAATTGAACTAAACAAAAACAAATAGTTTTCATACTTTCACCCAAACATCAGAAATGGAAAATAGCTTCAGGAGAATAACTCATTTTCCAAAAGTTTCATTTTGCAAATTTTCAAACGGACTCTTAAGGAGTAAGTACCCAGCCAATTATTCAAAACCCGAATCTCACGTTTTTCAATGTTTCAATTAGATTTAATATTTTTTGATTTTTTTTCATAATGTAAAACAAATGCAATACTTAGCAAATTCTGGGATAAAAATAGGTAAAACCTACATAATCAGCAGTTTAGAAGCTAAGGCAACTGACTTCTAAATACTCTATCATGGTCCACAAGTCGTAAGTTGAATCTGGGCTAGTTTCTTCCATTTGCCTAAGGTTTTCTTGAGCCTGGTTGCTTTACGAGTCCATGTGAGTGAGACTAAGGGAGTGCCATAGTCAGAAATGCAAGGAGCAGAGTGGATGAAATTACATGAAGTCTTGAAAAATACTAAAAGAAAGGATAGCATAAGACAAAATTGACAAGGTAGACATAACATTTGAGCCAAATTGATCACCTTAAGTCCCAACCCCCCAAGAATATACTGTGAAATCACTTTAGATTTGAGAAATAAATGGAGAAATTTGGAAGTCAATCACTTCCATGCAACTGGGCATCACTAACTGGTCTGAATGTCTACTTATCAAACCCTAAATTTTGAATCTGCACAACTGAAAAGGGAAGCATAAAAATGCTTGCCTAGCGGGGCAGTACCTCTACTAGACGTTCCTCTGCGTCAGCGGGGATTTCCCTTCCTGGGACCCGCACCTTTATAAGTGTAGAATACCTGCAATTCAAAGAAATGGTGTCATATATTCTTTCTTCTTTGCACAGAGAATCCTTTCTTTTGAAGCATTGCAAATTTGTGACTATCAGTATTAACCATAAACACTCACTCTGCACTCGTAAATAGGTGCTCGTGCTCACTAACAAACACAAGCAGGGCCTGGAAGGGAAAAAAATACACCATAAGTTGTTTAGGAAAACTATACCTGCCGTTAGGCTGTTGCAGCTATAAAGAAACGATTTACTAAATTGGCAAGAATTATTGCAGACTATTTTTTACTTGCCTCGAATGGCATGTTTAGGAGATCATAATATGTTCGGACACGATCTAAACTGAGCTTCACAGCTTCACTGTCAATCGAGGGAATGGCAGTAAGAGCCTACAAACATGGCATAATAAAAAGAGACCTTTTAGCCAAGAATGAAGCTGAATCAATCATGCCTAGAAACTTAAAAGGTTGGGGACATGAGGGGAGGGGTGTGTGTGCGTGTAAATAGAAAGGCAAAACAGACAATGAGGACCTGCTCTAGTGCAATCGAGTTGCAACATATCTGTTGAACCCCAAATAGGTTGATAGATTTTATATCCGTCAAAGCCTAAAAGCCAATGATTTGATTGTCAGTAAATTTTGATACTCCGTAGTACAAAAAAACTGCAGTTGAAAAGAAGTAACAATGAGGGGAAAGCAGACCTTGATGAAGGCATTTGCAGCAACACCACTTATGGAACCAAAAATATAGTTCCGCTTTGCTCCAGCAATGAAAGGTTGCAGTTCTTCATCCCGCCGTGCTATCTGTCCCCCACCAATGTTAGACATTTAAACATGACTGCCCCCTTATTATAAATCGTATATTTTTTCAAAATGTTCCCTATTTTCCCTTATTTTATTTCCCTAGCATTTCTTGAGTTAAAATGGGCCCCTAAGGTTTAAGAATGCCTCAAGCTGTATAGCTATCATAATCCATTTGTGGTATTATCTTGGAGGGTAGATTTTGGAGGGAATAGTTTATATGTTTATAAGTAGAAGATTTCTACAAACGGATAAGCAAATGATTGAAATGTTATACGACTACATATTATATTAACCTTTCAATTTTTATAAACCTCAAATTTATCTGAACTCAAGAAATACTAAAATCTCCAAAGCCCTGCCCTCCAAAATTTTATATCCAAGGTCTTCTTATCCCCATAGAACTTAACTGCTGCTGCTGGAGCATAAGAGAGATTTGACATTTACCAATGATGTCAATGAGATTACATAATCATCAGGCTCCTCTGAGTCTTGGTCATCCTGGTATTCCTTAATCGTCATTTCCTGCTCAAGTGTACATATTTTATTGCATTGCAAATAGCCAAATATTATTCACTCTGCCACACAATTAATGCTCTACTTGCCTGTTTCAACAATCACAAATTTAAGTTTCATTCTCTTCGGGAAGGAACATGTGGTTCATATTATTTTTCCATCCGCATAAATTTCAACCAAAAAGTTTTCACTTTATTAATTACCGTGGCCAATCAGAGTGCCATAAATCTGGGAGTCTGGGACAAAGGGAGTATCAATTTCTCATCTCACTGGAATTTGAATATGAAATAGAAAATTTGGGATACAAGTATACCTGCATGTGGAAAATGGTTTCCAACTGCATCTCTATACGCAAAACCTTAAGGCAATCAACTGCCAATTTTCTGTACTCCTCAGCAAGTGAAGCCAGATCCTTGGGAATAGAACTGGCTGTTCTACGGTGTTGGTGAATTTTTTGTTTTCCACTCTCCTCGGCTTGATTAGATGCCTGGCCATGTGTCATTGCAAGCCTAGGAATAGATATGATTAATAAACTTTAGGACCAAAACTTTACTCAATAAATTTTGTCAAGGAACCAACTCAACCAAAAGCACAAGCTTATGGTTGTGGCCCAGAAAAGATTTTTTATTTAGTCCAACATATTTCACCAAAAGACTTCCTTCAAACACATTTTTTTCCTTGGAACATCTCTACTAAGTACACACATAAATAGGTGCATTAAATTTTTTGGGGTACATCAGAATGAGGTACGAGTCATTGGTAAGCAAAAATGAGAGCATATGAAGGGTTTTACCAGTCGTTGGGTATGAAAGAAGGGGAAAGATATATTTACAAGATTGAAAAGGTTCGAGAAAGAAGGATGCGGGATTTGGACCAAGTTAAGTGCGTTAAAGATAAGAATAGTAAAGTTTTGGTCTCTGGTGAAAGCATAAAGTAGCAGTGGAAGAGCTACTTCAATGATCTGTTTAATGAGGGGCATGCAAATCTCTCATGCTCCGATCGGCTACACACAAGGGAGGAGGACCAAAACTTCAATTATGATCGGTGAATTCATGAAATTGAAGTAAAGGAGGCCTTAAAACGGATGAAGAATAGCAGAGCAGTGGGCCAAGACACATCCCGATTGAAGTTTAGAAAGGTTTAGAAGGAAAAGGTATTTGGTGTCTAACTAAACTTTTTAACAAGATTCTAAGGTCTATGAAGATGCCTAACGAATGGAGGAAGAGCATTTTGGTCCCTATTTACAAGAATAAGAGGGATATTCAGGGATCAAGCTCATGAGTCATACGATGAAATTGTGGGAAAGAGTGGTTGAACGGAGGTTGAGACAAGAGACTCCAGTGTCAGAGAACCAATTTGGTTGAGGCTATATACTTGGTGAGAAGAATGATGGAGAGGTTTCAAAGTGAGAAGAAAGATTTGCACATGACTTTTTTTGATTTGGAAAAGCATATGACAGAGTACCAAGAGAAGTATTGTGGAAAGTTTTAAAGAAAAAAAGAGTAAGAATTGAATATATTTGAGCGACAGAGGACATGTATGATGGTGCTACAACGAGCGCGAGAAGTCAAAGTAGGGTAACAGGACAGGATTACACTAAGGGCCATCGTTAAGGCCATATATTTTTACACTAGTGCTGGACGTTCTTACCCAGAATATTCTAGAACGCTTGCCATGGTGCATGCTTTTTTTTGATAACATCATCCTTATGGGCAAATCACAGAGGACTTGAATGGGAAGTAATTGGATTCGTCGAGATAAGCTTTGGAGTTGCATGGCTTGTGTATTAGTCACAAAAAAGTAGAGTATATGGAATGCAAGATTTGCAACAGAAGGAGAAATAGTAACATCGAGGTGAAAGTCAGAGAAAATACTATACCACAAGAGATTTCAAAACAATGGAGAAATAAAAGATGATATTAACTACAAGATTTAGGCCAATTGGTCCGAATGGCGGAGTGCTTCGGGCTTTATTTGTGACAAAAAAATACCTTTAAAACTAAAGGAAAAATTTCACGATACGGCGATTAAACCAGTTAAATCGTATGGTACAAAGTGTTGGGCAACAAAGGGTGAACATGAACACAAGGTTAGTGTCGCGGAAATGAACATGCTTCGTTGGATGAACAGTCATACACATATGGGTAGAATAAAGAAATGAATATATGAGAGGTAAAGTTGGAGTGACACCCATTGTAGAAACGATGGTGGAAACTCGTCTTAGGTGGTTTGGACATGTGGAGATAAGACCAATAGAACATCCGATGTGAAGGGTTGATCAAATGGTGAATAGACATGTTGCCAAGGAAGAGATACACTTAAGAAGACTTGGCAAGAAGTGGTCAAGAGGGGACCTTCGCGTGAATGATCTCACGTCGGTACATATGATGCATGATAGGGAACAATGGCGTTTGATCCATGTAACCGACCCCACCTAGTCGAATAATGCTTTGTTGTTGTTGTATATCGAAATGAGGCGCTTACAAAGTCGTTAACTGTTGATGAAATTCCTAACTTTATAGTACACCTAATCCACAGAAACCATGTGAAAATATGAACAGAGCGTGCAGCATAACATGTGTGGACAATGAGGTGGAGGCCGGAGGGTGAGTGGTTGAGTGAGTGTCTCAACATCATTTCATTCACTTTCCTTCTAAAGTTCTTTCATAACACCATTTAGGGTAAAATGCAATGACATAAACTGTTTTACCAATTCAAGTTTCAGGAGTGTGCCATGGAGGCTAATAAGAAATGATAACTTACCTTTCTACAAAGTCTGCAACAAATTCCAATGAATCGCTCAAGGATGCCAAAAGAACAAGTTTGCTATCATCGCGTATCAGGTTCTCCTGAAAATAAGGAAATGACAGGATCACAAATGACAACAACAACAACATTAACTGGATGATTCAAAATACAACCATAGCACCAACCCCATATCCCTCGTCCCCTTGAATAAATCCCCCCAGATATTTAGTTGTATGATTAACCGGTCAAAGTGGATTGTGGACAAAGCTACAAAGACCATAATAGATTTTTGAGTCCTAAGCCAACACTAATTTACATGAAATGACCCTCAGAGGATACATACCTTCTTGATCGGCCTCAAATTCAGTAGTAGATTGCTTATTCCCTTTTCAACCTCTTTAGCATCAGAAGCATTATTTTCTGAGTTTGGATAATGAACTGAAGTTGGTAAGTATGTACTAGCTGGATCAAGTCGCATCAGATTTTCGATGTCATATCTTCCAATAAGCATATAACTTTGCTTTTCAAGAACTGCCTAAAATTCAGCCCGGTAAAAAAAGAGTCATCAAACTGGAGTAGAAAGAGTAAGAACAATATATTTTAATTTGATAACAATCATAAAAATAGAGGGAGAGAGTGTGCCTATATGTGCATAATATCTAGCTACTTTATTCTGGTGAAATTTCAATTTAACTATTCACGCCATTCACACCAGAAAAGTTCATCAGGTACTCGGGGAGAAAAAAAGATTAAAAATCTAAAAAAATTCATGTTCCACTAAAAAGTTCTCAAAACCTAATTTAAATCCACATTTTTTTAGAGGATTCCAAGTTTCTGAATTCATATTCATTGATCTTTTTTGACCCCATTTAGACCACCAGAGGTGGGTGAGATAAGGGAAAGGGAACACCTAACCATTTTATCATGCATATTCATTGATCTTATGCAACAAGTACTTCCATTTATATTTCACAGTTATCTTTGACTCTTTTTCAATCTCATTTTATCAACTTAATAGAGTCAATTTAACTACTCTAGGATATCGTGAGTTCGCAACAAAAATGCTAGGAAGAAAAAAAGACATGCAGGAAAACAAACTAAATGTAGGTTTAATATGTAAGGATTCACAAAATGGTCAATTGCTTACATGCCAAATCTTAGCACTTAAAAACCTTAAAGATCTAGTTGAACTCTGCATAGCTTAATTATAGTTTAAAGAAAGGCAAACCAAAAGCTAGTACAAACAGTACAAAAAGAGCTAAACGCAAGAAGATATTATCAATAACAGAATAAAGAATATTTGGAATTATAAATCCTTGAAAAACTTTAGATAGGGTAGAATAAAAGGAATATAGTTGCCTCCATGTATGAAGTTCGGCATCTTTCATATGCCCTCTCAAGAAAACTTTGCACATAGCTCACAAGACCAACAGCAAATTTAGGCAATGCTTGAGCCCAACCAAGTACCTGTAGTAATTAAAGGGGTTAATTATGTTTTTCTTATCCCTATCCTTTACCCCCTTCCCAATTTGGGCCATATCCATCAAATCCATACAGTGAGGTCCCTAAGACCCTAACCTTTACTATTAAATTCAATTATGTCCTTAACTATTCTGTTCAAGTTTCTGTTTAAAATTAACACATGCATGACATGTGATCTAAAATTGGCTTTGTTAAAAAAACACTTGTCAGTGGCCTCATTTGTGTTGTGCCTATCACCATGCAAGTCAGATCCAAAAGATGAATTACTCTGTTCCAAAATATTATGAGCCGAGTAGCCTTCCCATGGTCATAATAGACAAAATTCATGGTTTTTATGAAGACCAATTGTAGATCCTATGTCAATGTTGGCATGCACATGTTTATTTTAAACAACAGATAATTCGACAGAATAAATAAAAAGGGCTTAACTGAAAGCACAAGTAAACGTTAGGAACCCAATTGCAAGGATTAAAGGATGGGGATAAAATTGGGAATGTTGCAAAAGAATAGGGATCAACAACATCAGAGCTAATTAAGTGAAAATATTGGACAAGCACCGACTTTACAACCGCATGTTGAACAGGGAAAAAATACACAATTGCATGTTGAACTTTTTATATATTTGGAAAAATAGGTTGATACTACTCGAACAAGTCAAACCTCATAACCGATCATATTTAGCATCACCTAAAGGTTACATGGAGTCCACGACTCCACGTAGCATATCGAACATAACTGAGCACACCTTTTTATGAACCCCTTCTAGAACTCATGATCCATGTCCCTCCAATCCCTTTAAACACCATGTCCCAGCCCTCTATTTCACAACCCCATTACCCTCCCTTCCCACTACTCCCACATACCCAGCACCAACTAACCCTTCGAATGCCCTTCTCCAACCCAAAATATGAGAACTCACACTAGTAGCCCTTACAATGTACACCCCCACCAGATAACTCCGCCTTCCACCCCCACTAACTTCATCGACACCTCCCCTTTCCCTCTCCTTTAAACAGAGGTTCACTTTATGGGTAGGGTGGGGAGTGGGTCTGGCGTGTGAGAGTGATGACAAGAGTATGGTGGTACTTGAGAGAGGTGGTTGATAACGAAGGTGGTGGAGATGGTTGTGGGGGAGGAGAAAGAGTGAAAAAGGGAAGGGGGTGTTTTAGGTGAGAGAGAGTGATTCGGAAGGGTTGATATCGAGAGAGAGAGAGAAGGTATGTCACTGCGCTAGCTTCAGTACACTATGTAGATTCCATATAACTATTGAGGGTTGCCAAATAGGATTTCTTAGGATGTTCGGGTAGTATGAACCTATTTTGCAAAATAAGTTAGTTGAAGTTTAACCTATTATGTAAAATTGACCCAAGTATAACCCGTTCTAGTCATTTTTCCTTAATATAAAGAAAGGCTCCAATTTAACTNCCCCCCCCACCCAAATACACACACACACACACACAGAGTAGAGTAGGGTAGAACAATATGATATTGAATAAACATTTGCAAGCTAGAATTCTAACTGTAGCTGAAAATCCTCATTCCATTAACCTAGTTGGCTGGTTCCTAATAAATAAATGCCAAAAAAGTGATTTGGAGCACGGCTTCATCTTTAAAAAAAATTCCAAAAAAAATGAAGCACCTCTTCAGCCAAAAACGTGATTCCCAAAAGTCCTTGTAGCACAGGTCGTCCTTTCTCAACTGAAGATATGTAAGATGATGCATGTGTTCGAGGACGAAATGCAGCAGGGCCTGAAAAACAATTTTTAGAATCAACTCTATCATAGTCATAAATTCTAGTTTATTAAAGAAAAGTGGAGTTCCTAAATTTAAAAATAAGAAAGCAGAGTAGGTCTACAGATTGATTTCAAGTAAAATACTCCATCTGTCCCATATGTTCTTGTTTTGACTTGACTCACTTTTTAATAAAGTAAAAAATGTGTGGTTGAACTTTGTTTAGAGGTAAGAGCAACAATTTCAACCACAATCTTTTCCTTAAAAGTAAAGTAGAACAAGATTTTGGGAAAACCCAAAGAGATAAAGGAACAAAATTATGGGACAAAGGGAGTAACAAATCCTTTAAGAATCACTTACGGTTTCTCTATCAATAGGAAGATGTATGATAGTAATCATGGTACATGTTATACGCTGTGCTGAAACTTTCCAGACTCAAATACAATTGTTACATGCAATACTCTGCTTAGGTCTTAGTACTTCAAGAGTGATGATGCTTAAAACAAATTACATGTACTTTTAATTATACTATTGCCAAAGCGTACTATGGTGTATTCAATCTAGTGTATTGGAAGTGGCATTCCCAATGTACTCATGCGCAATTATAGACATGTCACTCGGCACAAAAGTGATGAAAGAGAGGACACCACCGCTTAAATTAAAATCTAGAGAATATGGATGCCCAAAAAACCCACTACGAAGCACTGCATGTTAAAAATAAAACAAATACGAGTACTTTTTTGAAAAAATAAAACAATTACTTTGCATAATGAAGCAGTAACTGATTATTTCAAGTTTCAGGTGTATGAGGTCTATCGTACAGAACCAGTGAAGATTGATACAGAAACAAGGCAATCCAAAAACGGAGCCGCTCAAAGTCTAATTTTTGTACAAGTTTGGACATACTAAAGATAGATATGGGAAGTTAAAGGGAAGACCTCCACAGAGCGTCAATGTTGCTCAGAGTTGGTCTTCTTAGGTTGTGATATCACCTAATGAGTATGCACCCAACCAGAAATTTAAAGCATCGCAACATTCAGTGAGTCAGGAGCATGTGTGTCAAGCATCACCAGTGTTTGGATCCTTGACTCTGGTGCATTTGATCATATCTCTGGTAATCAGTAATCCTTATCCTTTGTCAAATGTCTCTAAACAAAGAAACTTTCCCTTAATCACTTTGCAAATGGGCATCAAACACCTAACACTAGAATTGGAATAGCTCTTTTGCAAACATCTTTACCACTTCATTTAGTTTTATTGGTTCCTACTAGTTCCTTAACCTCGTGCTATATGCTTACGTACTCAATCTCTCATCTGCTCCATAACTCTTTTTGCTGATTCTGTGGCTATACATGAATGTCACACGGGGAAGACGGTTGGCGTAGGACGTGAATCTCTGGGGCTTTATCACCTTAAATAACCAAACCCTGATGGTTGTTGCATGTGTGTCTATTGAGTACACAATTACTTTACATAACCGTCTTGGTGGCCATAGTTTTTCTAAATTTCTAAATTTACACGACGCCTTGACAACTATGATTGGTACATGGCTGCCCGGGGATGCTTCACCAATCCTCTTGTGTTGACACACCTAAGAAAAATGTGGTTGCTGAGTGAAAGAATCGTTGTTTGGTGAACACAGATCACAATCTTTTACTGCACCCCCCCCCCCCAAACCACTGTTCTGGGAAAATTTCACACTTGCAGGGCATATCATTGACACGATGCCTTCTTCAGTCCTTCAATAATGATGTTCAAGCCAAAGGCTTGTTTCCTTTATCAGTCAACCCAAACTATATGCCTGGTCTATCAAGTGTACTTTCCTTCGATATTCCCCACTCCAAAAAGGATATCGTTGTTATTCTCGGACATGAAGAAAATATTTTTTTCGGAAAAGGTAGCATTTATGAGTCATCCTTTTACTATAAAAGTTCTTCATATGATACACCCCATTTATCCAATTTTATTCCATACCTTTGTCCTATCACTCTTTTATCGGAATATCGGATACCCTTGACACAGATTCTACCACGCCACCATCTCATTCGTTACCACAACAACCTCCTCTGCATGTTAATCATAATTTCTCCTGTCCTTTACAAGTACAAGAGATTCTCTTTACAGACACTCCATCTTTCACGGATCCAGCACATGATGATCTAGTCATTGCTCTCAAACAATTTACATCTTCTACTCTTAACCCTCACCCCTAATACAAATTTCTTTGCTATCATTATTTCACCACTCCATAATTTTCATTTCTTTCACATGTTTGGATGTAGCATTCCCAAAAACTAGTCATGAAGCTCTTTTAAATCTGTGGTGCAGACGAACAACGTTTATAGAAATCGAAGCTCTTTAGTCTCTTGGTACCTGGGAGCTTGTTGCAATCTGACTAGGTAAAACTGTAGTAGGGTGTCGGTTGCCCCAAAGTATACTCAAACCTATGGATTGGATTTTAGTTAAAATAGGATCTATCCAACTTATCTTATAAACGAAAGCTGTGAGTATTGAAATCTAGTCATATATGCTGGTTGAGTTGCTCTTTGGTTGTCAGCTGTTGCCTGTTAGCAGTTCGTGCCAGCTGTTGTGAATGGCCTCTTGATACTTATAACTAAGGAAGTTTAAAAAGTGTAACTTCTACACCATTAACTCCTAGTATTAAACCATGGCATTTGTGGCACACTAATGACGTGTTAATGGTGATCAATTAGCCATTAACACGTCCGTAACGCTACGCTCCGTTTAAAATTTGTCCCGAATAATTGGAGATTAATGGCCAGTTAACTCCGTAAAAAGGACTAATTTTAAACAATATGTAAAATTACTTAAAAAAAATTGGTTCAGTAAAATTGCAAAAGATGCAATCCTTACCATATTCTTTTATTAACGGGTTAACTCTGAGAATCAATTTCTCATTCACCCTCTACCATTTTTGGCGTATAAATTATCAAAACATTTCTCTCATTTAAAAGGAACACACATCCATTAATTTAACGGTTAAAACCGTTAATGGACCTATTGATAAATATACCCAAGTTGGTCCATTTAATGCCTATTAAAAATGCCAAAAAATCCAACAATTAGTATACATACATGCCTACCTACCTCCCTGCATGCATGCATACATCCATGCATCCATCCATCCATCCATCCATACATACATACATACATACATACATACATACATACATACATACATACATACATACATACATACATACATACATACATGCATGCATGCATGCATGCATGCATACATACATACATACATGCATGCATACATACATGCATCCATACATGCATCCATACATGCATCCAATGCATGCATGCATCCATGCATCCACATCCATGCATGCATGCATACATACATACATGCATACATGCATGCATACATCCATGCATACATCCATGCATGCATCCATGCATCCATGCATGCATCCATGCATGCATCCATGCATCCATCCATGCATCCATCCATGCATGCATCCATGCATCCATGCATCCATGCATACATACATACATACATACATACATACATACATACATACATGCATGCATGCATACATACATGCATGCATGCATACATACATGCATACATGCATACATACATCCATCCATCCATGCATCCATCCATGCATACATACATGCATACATACATCCATACATCCATGCATGCATGCATCCATGCATGCATGCATCCATCCATCCATGCATGCATGCATGCATGCATGCATGCATGCATCCATGCATACATACATGCATCCATACATGCATGCATCCATGCATACATCCATCCATACGTACATGCATACCTACATGCATACCTACATCCATACATACATACATACATACATGCTTACCTACGTACATGCCTACCTACATCCATACATACATACATACATGCATGCATGCATGCATGCATACATGCATACATCCATACATCCATACATCCATACATGCATGCATACAGACATACTCACATACATACTTACATAGATATGTGTGTGTGTGTGTGTGTGTGTGTGTGTATTGAACGGTCAGTTACAAGCAGGGGGCCCGAGGCCCGTTAAACACCCGAGGTAGATAGCCCACTAACGAAGCCCAATGGAAGCCCAACCCCATAAGTGTGCAAACACTTCCCAGGGGGTCACCCATCATTTTCACTGCTCAAATGCCAGCACGCTTAACTCCCTTAAAATTCCCCCAATGTTGCCCGTTCTGAGGATCGAACCCGAGTGGTGTGGTTCCCCAATCAACACTGTGACCATCTCTACAGGGGGGAACCAAACACACATGCACCCACACACACACACACATATGTATAAACACACACACGATATTTGTTTTTCATTTTTTTACATGTAAATATTAAATCTTTACTATATGGAGTATTAAATTTTACTTTCATTTAATTTATAAGAAATTATTAATATACAACTTTTTAATGATTTTTACTTTTAATTTTCTCATCTCTTTTTTTTTGAAATTTTTAAATTTTTTTTTATTTTTTTTTAAGTTTTATTTTTATTTTTTACAAATATTATAAAATATCTTTCAAGAAAAATTATTTAAAAAAATTAATTTTCCTAACAGCCAAGTACAAAAGCTACTCCCCTTGGCTTTTCAGATTTTGGCTTTTCAGATCAAAATGCCAAGTGAAAAAGTCATTAGCCAAATAATGGTTTTGGCTGTTCGCTTAGTCAAAAAAGCCAAAGTCAGTCAAAGATCCCAAAAGCTATCTGAAAAGTTGTTTTTCAAACAAGGCCTTTATATGGTCTAAAATAGTCCTCATGTGCCCAGTTTTGACAATCAATATTGTTGTTCAAGAATATAGCATGTACTCAACTGTTGTTGATGATTCTGTTTGTGATCAAATTCAACCAATAACAAAAGTATCTATTTGGTAGTTTATGTTGATGCTATTATTATTAGAGGTTGTGGCTTAGCAGGATTTACTTATTAAAGCAATATTTTTTCAAAACATTCCAAACAAAAGATTCAGGGAGAGTGAAGTACTTTCTTCGCATTGAAGTTGCACAATGCTCTGGATATACTTGAAGAAAATATGCTCTGGATATACTTGAAGAAACTGAGATGCTGGAGTGTGGACAAATTGGTACTCGCACAAATCCAAATGCTAAGCTAGTGCCGTTACAGGGGAGGGGGATGATGCACTATCCAATAAAGAAAGATTTAGATGGCTTGTTGGAAACTGAATTACTTCACAATCACAACTTTTTAATGATTCATTCCCCATAAGTGCGCTAAGTCATTTTTCAGCAAGCTTTGAGACGGCCAATAGGATGTTGTGATTCTAGTTCTAAGATAAAATTAAAGCACTACAGGGCAAAAACTTTTCTATAAAGGCAGAGGTCATAATAAACATTTGGGGTAATGTGATGCAAATTCGACTGGTTGTCCAATCGATAGAGATCTACTTGTAGTTTAATTGGTAAGAGTTTAATTTCTTGGAAAACCAAGACCCTATGCTCTCTACTTTTAGTAGGGGTAAGGTCTGCGCACCCCCCTACCCCCCAGACTCTGCTTTTATGGGATTATACAGGGTTGTTGTTGTTGAAAACCTAGAGCCTACTCTCGTGGGATTCCACTGGGTTGTTTTTGTGCATTGGCCCTAGCAACATGTGAAATCATGTCACTGAAACATCTCCAAGAACTAAAATATGGAAGCATATAGTAGAACAGTACGCCTCCTATGTGATGATCAAATATAACTTCATCTGAGAGAAGATTGCATCTCGACATATCACCACAATCTAGGGTGGATAGAAGATCAGTCGGTCATTTGACAAAGGCCTTAAGAATTAAGAGGACCCAAAATATAATACATTTGTAACAAACTTGGAATATATGATCTATATACTCCAGTTTGAAGGGGAGAGTGAAATACTAGTTGTGAAGTTAGGAATATTTCGTGTTAAGTAGCATTCAGGTCACCCAAGATGTAAGCACGCATGAGGCCACCCATGATGTCATAAGTAGCTTTTCTAGTCTACTTATACCCTTGTACTCTACAAAATAGATATGAAAATATACTAAGATTATCTCTATTATTCACACTTACCAAGGATGTCAATGATATCAATTATTGTAGAATGTGAAAAAAGAAAAAGAACTTGCTTGCTATAGCCCGCTGTACAGCTTTCCTGTAATCTACAAACAGTGCTGGTAAGAAGTGATCCTTCACAAAGTTCTCCACAAATGTCAGCAGCCCATCCTTCCTACAAATTTCAACCATTAAAATGCATACAAATAGAGTAGAAAATTTCTCTAACAGATATATTTAATGCACTAAAAAATGTTAACTTTGGAGATAAAATTAAATTATTTAAATCCTGTAAATATTTCTATTTATGCAAATCAAAATCCTTAATCTTTTTAATCTGCAAATTGCATACATTTTATATATGTACATCATTTCTGACCAAGCCAACTCATAGCTCACCCATTGTAAATACTTCTAAAGGAAAAATGCTACGTAGTATATCTGATTTCGTGAAATCTTCTTCAGTTTCACTCTTTTGTTGGCTGTCAGTTTTACTTTTAATCTTCAAGATTTTCACTTGACCAGCGTATAGAAATCATATTTACAGGGGCATGTTTGGTTTCCAAAGGCACTCCTATGCATTCATTCACTACTTTGTCCCCCCATCCTATCACATGATTTTTCCTTTGCTTCTCAAACAGCAGGGGTCAAGTCTGCGTACGCACACCCTCCCCAGACCCTATTTTGTGGGATTCAACTGGGTTGTTCTTGTTGTTGTTGTCAAATAGCAGCCTTAACTTTATTTGCAAAAAAGAAAAAAACATGATTCAAATTCTTAATTAAGCTTTTTACACTGTTCAACTCCAGATGTACTTATGTTAACAAAAAAGTCAACTTCAGTTGCTGCAACTCACCAATCCCTCCCAACTTATCTTTTCAGCGCTGTAAAGAAAATAGTGTAAAGGCTGCTCGTTTTCGATATCCTGTTGGAGACTAAGATGTCTCAACATGCACCAACGAAGCATGCAACTTAATCAAGCTTACCCAAGGTGGGAAAACTTCTGAGGTAGCATTGAAGTAACTTTATAAGTGAACTGCAAGAAAGTCGGGAGAAATAATTAGTTGGGAAAATCAACATACTTAAGAAAACAAGAAAGCTGGGACAATCCAAACCTCAAGAACAGGTCGGTATAAAGATGCTGCTAAATATAGCCCCTGTTCTGGCAAAGCTGCTGCAGTGCCATAACCTTCTTTAACCACACTTGAGGCCTTCATACTCCACCCTTGTCTGATTAAGTCACCTCCTGAATCCCAAATATCACAGAAAAATAACATCGGGGGATGTACTGAAGACGAGAAACCCTCAATACTGAGGAAAGAAAAAATAGTACTCCCTCCGTCCCCAATTAAGGTTCCACATTTGACCGGACATGGTAACAACGTTGAAATTGATTGGTTGATAGTTATGCAAGAGAGAAAGAAATGATGTAAGCCATATAACCATTTCTTGAAAAGGAAAGTGGAACCTTATTTTGGGACAAACAAAAAAAGATATGTGAAACCTTTTTTAGAAGAGAGGGAGTATACAAAAAAGTCCCCATTGCAAAGCTTGATTATGAATTTACTAGGAAATGAATGAAATTTGAATATATGTAAAGGCATAAATTAATGACCTCATTCAGATGCAAGGTGCCAAGGCATGCATAATCATCACATGATTAATGCAGTACTATTTTTTGTTTTTCTTTCATTTCTTCTTTTAGAAAGTAGGATTTTTAAACCTTTCATCAGTCTATCACTGACAGAAGACCTTAAACTTTCATGGTACGTATACTGGTTGACAATATTTTAGCGCTACACCAAACAATAATTGTATTTTTAACATGAGATGAGGTTCATTCCAGAAATGAAACCAGATTTTTTTAAAAGTTTTGATATGGGACATGTTTAATTACCATGTTTTGGAACAGATACAGTAGCATCTGTGAAGCGAAAAGCAAACGAAAAACCATCTCCAGATCCATCTCTACAACGAATAAGCATTATATAATTTAATAAATAAACATTTAGAAAGTCAAATCAAAACAATGGAATTCGAAAATCAGTCTTAGTCAAGCACTACAATTTTTAAATTCAAAGAGCTTTTAAAAAACAAGACACCACCCTACCATAGTTTATATATGATCCATGACATATAAAAAAGTTAAGAACAAATAAATACACCAAACTTTCAATAACTAACTCTCTAATATTACATACTTAACTTCATTGGAGTTTTCTTCAGCTTTGGTTACCAAATACACAGTAAATAATAAAGAGCTCTTTTGATTTAAATAAAAGTTCAAAAACTGTACAAAATAACCCATTTGAATCCTCACAACAAAGGCATAAGCCTTTGGATGAGGCAAAACACATTCTTCAACATGGTATAAGAGAAAGTAGGGGCTATGGGTTCAATCCACTTATCCACATACCATATTTAACTCGTCAAAAGAATCTTGACATGCATGAGAGGATATGTTGAGTATAAATATGCATTGTAAAACATGAAATCATAGAATGGGTATCCTCACTACTAACTTATTTTGTAGTCCTTGCAAAACATTCTTGACTTAGTTTAGAAATCATGTTTCATATCCAAGGATGGAAGTACATTCTCTACAACAAGATTGGGAAAAAGGGCATGATAAACAGACTAGTGCTATCTTGTTCCAACTGCGAAACAAAATTCTTAGAATTTGTGGATATAATCTTCTTTTATCTTAAGCACTGAGAAGTGAATATGGAAACATAATAAACAAGTAATTACAAATATCAGAACAAAAATAAGACAGAATACATCAAAAGTTTAAGGCACGATATTGACGTGTTAACATTTATGGAAACATGTCTTCTTTCTAAAACTTCTGCTTTTAAATGATTTCCGGATATGAATTTTGAATTTAAATGAGTTTACGAGTTACTAGAAAAATATTTTGTGCTGGCCTATAAATGCCTGCAACCTTCCCTACCAGTATGCCTGCCCTTGAGTGTATTTTCCTACAGCATTTCATTGACTTGCCTCTTATCCTCTGAAGGTGTCTTGCTCGCAAATCTGGCTGTATGGACAGCAGCATCAGCAGAAGCAGCTTCAGGAGTTGCTCGTAGGATTTCACAAATCAATTGTTGACATTCGCTCTATTTCACAGTTAGCAGAATAGAGTGCAAGTGATGCATGCACATATCATAAATGTATGCATGTGTGTTGTAATCAAACGAACCAAATGCATGACAGATAGGACTGTAAATCCATAATGCAAATAACAAAAAGAGAGGGTGTAAGAAACCTGTAAGACATTTAAGGAAAAGCTAATACTATAGCCTCCAGTATCACGATATACATCTGAATCTTGATTCCAATTAATATCAGTTGGCATAGACCTTGGTGTGTTCAAGTCAACTTGCTGCAAAGATTTAGAATCGAGAAGCTCGCCAACAAACATGTGGTTTTCTGAAAAAGTTTCACCATTACACATGAATATGAAGGCAAAAGATACAGCTCTTGATTTCTAGCATCAATATTAAAATAACAATAAGAATTATCATTGACAAGTTGGAGTCAGTGGCATGAAATTTATATGCATAATTACTGGTCTAAAATAAGTTAACACTCAAGAATTTGGGGTCAGCAGTATGAAATTTATGCGGCTAATTACTGGTCTGAAATTCATGCAAAAAGAGCATAGTAACAAAGTTTTAAGTCTCATGCCCTTCCTGTCACAACCTTCTTATGAAGGAATGATGAGATGGAATCTCAAAACAGTCGGCACCATATGGTATTTGCACTTGCATGGGAAATATCAAGAGATGGCAATAGCCAATAGGTAAAGATTGATACTATAGTCATTTTATATTATAAGATTGATATTGCAAATACACAAACGGATCATGAGCCAATATTCGTGGTTCGTGCAAATAACAATTATAATATTAATAATAATAATAATAATATAAATAATAAAGAAAAATAAGCACAAATGGATTTCCAAAACTTAGAAATCCTGACCAAATATGCAAACAGCAGCATCCAAAATTGAATCAAGAAGCTCCTTTGCAGCCACATGTGCTTTCCCCTTAGGAGCCATTACAGGTGAGAGATGACTAACAGTGAGCACCACACCAGCCAGTGATACCCCATTTTGACATTTCTGTTCCAGTGACGGGTACCTCTCAAATTTTCCTTTCAGAAGGTGTTGACCTATAATTGCAGTCTGAGGACATGAACCGCTGTCATGCACTGAACTATTTCTTTTTTTGGCAATAGATTTGATCTTGGTAGTGATTATCTCATGTACTGTTGGCCTAAATCTTTGGCTGTTAAACAAACAACAGAGGAGAATGAATCAAATACGGCTTCAAGAAAATATCATTATCAAAAGAGAATAACATTCTAAAAGTAAAGTTGTCACTAACATGTTTTAAGTGTTAGTGTGTTACCTTTTATGGTACAAGCTTTAATTGTTTTTTGTTGTCATCTAAAATAAATTGCATGCTGAACAATTTATACTATGCATGGTGGAACAATTAGTCATAGCTTGAGTATTCTCGCAGCAAGAAACTAAAAAGCGAGTACCACAAATTAAATTTAACATGGAGTAACACACATGGAAAGGTATAAAATACATGTGTAACCCACTCAAATGCAGTGCAGACAACGTTGTGTCAACTACAACAATAGATTTGAATTGAAAAGGGTAGCCAAATGCAGACTCTAAGCATATCACATGTTAAAGTACCTTTTGTTTCAACATATTCTGAAGTTGTTACATCACATTCTACCTAACGTTGTTACAAATTCTGAAGGTGCTACAGTACAATCTCCGATCTAACATTGTAACATATATGTCTGTACAAAATTACTTCAAGCATTAGCTACAAATGATCCAAGAGCATATAGCTGACAACGCACCATATTATGGCACCACAAGCAGCAACTTTTCCAAGCATGCAAAGGCACTCAACCATGGTCTGCAAATACTTCATGTGCAATGGAGCATCACTCTTTCTCATTATTTCCTAAACTCAAACCATAAAAAAAATTCAGCCTTAATAAAATGGATTAACAAGTGCCAAGTTTCAAAGACATCATAAGTAGTAATGGCATCAACCATACAATAAATTCATCAGGCGTGGAATCTGAAAGCCATGTAGGAGCTTGATTAATAGAAACTTTGGCATCCTTTTGAGCGCAATCACCACTATTAGAATCTGATGTAGCTTCATGATGTTCCAGCACACCATCATCCTCCCTGGCATCGAGTGAAGAGCTGAGAATTTGGTGGAATTAAAAGTACAGACAGCATTGTTGTCACATATTAGTAGAAACTTTTAATCTTTATTCCAGAGTATTTTTTAATATAAACTGTAGTGTTTGTGTTGTGCTTATAGTTGAACTATAAGTCAAGACTTGCATAACATAAGACATTTGTTTCAACAAGGTACATCCCACTCAAAAAAGCTTTATTTTAAAATTTGTTTGTCGGTTAAACTGAATCTAACATATTTAATTCAATTGTGACAGTTTGGAAACAGAAGGAGAGACAGTAACATCGAGGTGAGAGTTGGAGAAAATACTATACCACAAGTAAAGAGATTTAAATATCTTGGGTGTATCATTCAAGACAATGGAGAAATAGAAGATGATGTTAATCACAAGGTTCAAGCCGGTTGGTCAAAATGGCGGACTGCTTCAGGCTTTATATGTGACAAATAAGTACCTTTAAAACTAAATGGAAAATTTTACCGTACTGCTATTAGACCAACTATATTGTATGGGACAGAGTGTTGGGCAGCAACGGGTGAACATGAACACAAGGTTAGTGTGACGGAAATGAAGATGCTTCGTTGGATGAGCGGTCATACGCGTATGGATAGAATAAGCAATGAAGATATGAGAGCTAAAGTTGGAGTTGCACCTATTATAGGAAAGATGGTGAAAACTCGTCTTAGGTGGTTTGGACATGTGGAGAGAAGACAAATAGAGCATCCCGTGAGAAGAGTTGATCAAATGGTGAATAGGCATGTGGCTGGAGGAAGAGGTAGACCTAAGAGGCTAAGAGGACGTGGCAAGCATAGATCAAGGAAGACCTTCGCGTGAACAATCTCACAGCAGATATGATACTACACGATAGGGCGCAATGGCGTGATCCATGTAGCCGACCCCACCTAGTGGGATAAGGCTTTGTTTTTGTTGTTGTGACACTTTTTTAATTAAAAACATTACATGCATTGAAAATTAGCTTGATTTGTAAGAAAATACTTTTTTGTGGGACCAAAATATTTTAAGAAACTGGACTTTATTTATGGGACGGAGGGAGTAAGTAATAATTAACTTCAATCATGCGTTTTTCTAAACATTACAAGATCCACAATCTCAATTTATTATTCTAGCCACTAGCATCAAAGTAAGGCAAGTGAAAGATTGAAGCTCGTGGTTAGCTTTTAATGCAAAAAAAATATAGAAGAGAAAGAAAATAAAAATAGTTTCGAACTTCAAATGCAGTATCAATCAAAGGTTTATTCGGAAACATAAAAACAATTATGAACTTATGTGTATAACATGATATCATTTATAACAGATAAAATCACTAAGACAATGCATCAAGTTAAATATTGTTCACAGGAAAATCAAAGGTACAAGAAAGCCAAATTTTCATTAAAGTTGAAGATGGATATCTGGCAGCTCACATGAAAGTATAATATAGTTAATTGTCTTACCCCCTAGCAACAGAACATAGCTTTACTAATCCATTGCCAACTCCTAACGACCCAAACTGATGTTCGCCTTGCATGGCTTTTTGAGACAATGTGATGGTTGTCGCTGTTGGGATTTTATCCTCCCTTTCATTGATACCTAGCAGAGGTGGACTGCATTGTAAGGAAAACTTTAGCTACTGCAATAGTCCAAAGAGAGTAACAACAATCATCATCATCATTATTATCAGCATTTAATAACAACTGGTTGGGATCAGTTGCATTCAAATTCTAATGCAAATTAATTGTATAAAGGTAATTAACACTATAAATTCATGCAAGAAGCAGTGTTAGTGT